AAGTTGAAATGAGAACATCCCAAATATGCAGGTGAATGCTTTTTTTTCTTAACTACCTTGCAAATGTTTCAACTCAATGCTTTTAATTATGTGACTACTCTCTTAAAAAAGGAAATACATACTCCTGTGGCCTTCTGAATTATTTTATGTATCACATTCAGGCCTTACTGATGAGTTCCAGCAATCAGGTTTTGAACAATATTATCTGAAATAATTTACTGAAGTCTTAGAGATTTTTTTGTTATACCACAGTGAAAGGTATGTCACTATATTTCAGTCTATCATATATTAAATGAGTTGTTTTGAGCAAAATAAAGTCAATCTATAGTTTTGACTTAATATACAGTTTATAAACTTTACTGTTAAATGATTTCTTCTTGATTTCAAAGTTGGCTTGCACACTGCTCATTTACACATGGATGTGACTATGAACTGAAAAGGCATCAGACACGAAGAAAGGCATTTACAGACTAATGTAAATGTAGGCCAAACAATAAATGTAAGAATCGTGTTAACTTGCCATTGTATTTTCAGTTTAAAAAATGCTAACCTAATAATTAAGTTATACTAGTTAAGGAGTATATTTAATTAACATGAAGAGCACTTACTAAAAACATATTCACTAGTTTTAGATGTTATTGAAATCACAGTTTAATTCAAATGGCCATAAAAATGTTGGACTTCAAATAATTCCATTTATATGCATGTAGATGTTCTCACAGACTGTATAAAGTCCCCACCATGTTCATTTTAAGATGGAGATATACAACATTTACTTCAGTTCACAAAGTGTGGGCATAAAACAATCTACAGAAGCTTTTTATAGGGTTTAAAAGAGTTCTAATCACCCGTGCCAACTGCACTCCTCTCTCAACACAAAACTGCTTTTGAAACCAAGCATTCATTTGCTAAAACAAGGCATCTGCTGTTAAAGAGATTGATTATCCTGGGGCCTGACCTAATTGGGAGATTAGATATGCTTCTCTACTATGGATGGCATGGTTTATAAAGAAAAAAAAAAATTAGACCGAAAAAGAGCAAACTTCTTTTAGACTCCAAGTGCACTTTTATTTATTTCTAATTTTCTTTAATAGAAACAAACAGTATTGCGAATGTCAGGTTGGTGAAATTAGTGTGTTATGAGTGAAAAATGCATTGAGTTCATGTCATTTCTTTGGTAACAGGTACACATTCACTTTCATCACATAAGCCAAATAGTACCAAAAAATGACATTTTGTCATATCCTACTGAGTTAAGATCATTATATAATAGATACACACACACACACACACACACATAATCTGGCCTTCTACTGATGTTATCATTTCAGTGTTTTCTATTGCCAGTTAGGTGTCAGTTTTTTCCCCCAAACACAGACATCACCTCATTGCTGTGGCTAATTGCATTTTTCTTTCTAGCCTTTGACAACCAGACCTTTCTTAATGCTATTCACCAATATATCAGACTCAGGTCATCCATCCAAAACATGACAAAAGACCCAGATGCTCATGTAAATTGCACTCCTCCAAAGTACTGCCCTCTTCCTCCATGCAGATACAGATCTGTGACCCCCTCCCATTTTTGTCCACTCCCTTTGTTTTCACTTAATCTTTCATGGTTAGAAAAAGTGGTTATTTGTAGGCTTTAAGAAACATTATACTTTGTTTACATAATAAATCAAATAATCAAGTTAATTATGAAGTTAGATAAATTTTCTATACAAAATTCAAAAATTGCTTCTTCCCATTGAACTTCAAAATGGATTCATTTTCCACAAAAAAGACTTCTTGCTACCCATTTTTTACCCTTTCTTGAGCTCTCAAGATAAAACCAAGTTTGATTGTCCTCTTCCACTGAAAAAAAAAAAAGAAGAAAAAAGGTTTCATGTGGAATTGTGCAAGCAGAAGTGTAGGACTGAATCATTTATAAAATATCTCATAATTAAAAAGTTGATCTTATAAATGCTTTCTTATTGCCTTTGGTACATTTGTATTAAGCATTAATTACTCAAAATTACTACTTTCCTAAAGCCTTAACTTAAAAATAATTTTGAGATACTTAGAAACTACTGCAATGATGCTTTTATTTTTTTTATTTTTATTTTTTAAAGATTTTATTTATTTATTTGAGAGTGAATGAGATAGAGAGAGAGCACATGAGAGGTGGGAGGATCAGAGGGAGAAGCAGACTCCCTGCCCAGCAGGGAGCCCGATGCGGGACTCCAGAATCATGACCTGAGCCGAAGGCAGTCGCTTAACCAACTGAGCCACCCAGGCGCCCCTGCAATGATGCTTTTAAAGGAAGGTTATTATGGATTCAAATGGCATAGGGACATATTGTGTATGTGTGTAGATATATCCATATTCTAGATTCAAGACTTCTTTCTATTCATTTTCATTCTTTTTTTTTTTAAATATATTTTCACCTCATATAGTTAAATGTTCACTATGTTTTGGATACTAAGTCACTGTAAGAGAAGGCGGAAACTGATAATTTCTTAAATAGAAAAACAATGTAACCAATAGAAACCAATGGCAATATTTTAGTATTTTAAGGGGAACATCAAGTTAATGTATATGATTTTCTGTCTTTAATTTTAAAGACTTTCAAATTTGAATAAAATTATGTGAAAACTTAATAAAATGATAAGAAACATACAGGGTTACTAGAGCTACTATCCTTATCTTCTATTCACAAACACAGTTTAACATGCTCCTCTGTTAGTCATAATCCCATGAAAAAAAGGCAGAAATATTTTACTGAATTTAAATAATAAAATGACATCAAACATTAGTAACCATTACAGCTAAGCAAATATTATGGGATATGGCAGTAACATAAGGAATGGAGTGAGTTAGGGCCTCAGTTGATTGAAATCTCTGTGGTGGGGCTGAAATGTGCAGGCCTACTCTCTGAATCGAGTCAGATCAGAGCAGAACAGCTCATACACATAGAGCAGTGGAAGACAAGTTAACAAGGCCAAGAGGAAAGGGTAGGAGCTAAGAAGAAGAGTAAAAATTTGGAGGAATTAAAGAACCAGAAATCAAAGACACCAAAGATAGGGAGAAAAGGGGGGAAACTGATGAATCTATGATAATGAGGCCAAAGGAAGGATTCTCCTGATGATTACAGCACGTGCTGCAATTTAAACAGTGAAGAAACAGTCTTGAGTGCTTCTTGCCTGGACTGTTACATAGCTTTCCAACCTGTAATTCATGTCAGCTACCATCATGTTACTAAAACATCACTATAATTAAATTCTTCCAAAGTTCCCAAACTTCCAATGGCTTCCTCATGTCTCCTGGGAGAAGTCCCAACTTTTCAGCCTGCCACACAAAGGCTCTCTAGAAAAAGGACCCAGATGTGATCTAATTACATCAAGACTGTGTCGTGGGTAAAAGTGAGCTGGTTTGGTGCTTCCATACTTTTGGTCTATTGATGTTAAGTTCTGTGCCTGTAATGTCCTACCTTTATGTCTACATCCAAAAAGGTTATTGTCCTACCTTTTCTTTATGACCCACACCAGACTTAATTGTTCTCAATTTAACCTTCCCTAACAGCCACCCATCTTTGCCTGCTAAAGTTCTAAACACTCTTCAAGTACTGCAATGTCCTCCAAGACACATTCCCATAGTTATTTTTGAATTCATTTTGCATTTACTGCATACATTCACTTGGCTGTTATCTTATCCCTCCTTCTTTGCAGCTGTTTTGGTATATTGGGTCCCCAGCTGCATTTGCCTGGAAAAGAAAGGCTGTTTTTTTGCATCCATATACCTCCACATCATGAGATAAATAGTACTCAGTAAACATCTATCGAGGAACAATGCTCTGTACTATTATTTCTTCTTGGTTGAATTCTCTTCCCATTCCGCACAATGGCTGCCCCCAGAATCTTTCCAACCCTTTTTTCTTGTCTGCCTATCTTTGCCCTCCCCCGCTCCCCTATCTTGCCTCCTCCTCCACTGAGAAACTGAAGGTGATTCCTCACTTCACTTAATATTTCACATCAAGAATGGAGGGAGGGACAGGACATAAGGACCCACTATGCATCACCTCATGATAGATTATCTAAAATATAGCCAGACCTTTCATACTTACAGGATTCATATCCTGCTACCATCTGGATTGCTTGGACTTGACTTCAGTTCTCTGAGTTGGGTGATCTTGGATAAATGATTCAACTTCCTTCTATAAGTTAGTTTTCTTAGCTATAAAACACAGGTAATTAAAGTACGTAACTTGTGTGCTTGTGAAAGGATTAAGTCAGTAGATTCACATAAAGCACTTGGAAGAGTGTCTGGCAGAAAGGAAGTGCTCAATAAATGCTAGCTATTATAATTGTATTTTGTTTACCATAGTGGTAAGACAGGGTCTGTCCTCATCTTTTTCCTGAAGTTGCGTTACCTGAGGACTCCTCTAGTTATCCTAGACTACACATGTATCAGACTCAGGAAAGGTACTTGGGAAAGTGGAAGAAAAGCTATCTAAATAATAATAACAATAATTTATAATAACAAGAATATAGCAATAACAAGAATAATATATTAACAATAAACCAAAGCTTCAGTTGTATTATCTCCTGTAATCCTCACAAAAATTTTGTCACAAGTATTATCGTTACCTCCATTTTACAGGTGAGGGAAAAAATATCCTTACAGAATTCTTCTTAAATTGTCCAGATATTCCACCTCTAAAATATTTCTCTAGAACATGCGAGGCTGACACCTTTTACTTGCACATGTGCCTGTGAACTCTGCTTCTGGTAGATTGGTTGGACATTGTTGCTTCCTTAGACAATGCCATGACCTTCCACCTCTATGCTACAAGTAGTAAAGTTCTTTCATGTGTTCCAAGTGGACTTTTACCATATAAGAATCTGTTGAAACTCCGAAGAGGGTTTTTATTCTGTGCCTTCAGCAGGTTTAAGTGGAAAATGAATGGTGTTCAAAAGTCTGGGGCACCTTTTCCCAATAAAAATAATGTCTTTTCCTCACAGGATTGATCTGGCAGAAGCTGGCATGGAGAATGAGAGCTCACATTCCACACAGGCAAGTCAGTCATCCAAGCTACATTTGTCTATTCCATGTGTACCTGAGAGGGGGGGCAAGCAGGGAACACTACTGTCCCCAACTCAGGGTACCTTATCCTTCCTGTAAACATACTTTTAACTAATGGTTTCCAAAGTGGAATATGTGCACAAAATAGTCCCTTGGGGGTATAAGAAGAACTGTTAGAATGTCTACTTATATTGATTTTTTAATCTAAGAAAATACACTAAACTGTACTAAAATGTAACAAATAGATTGACACCAGCACCCTATCAGAAAGTTACAGGTCACTGTTGGTAGATTGAGGAAATGAAGGTCAACTGTGTCAAATTTACTCACCCTTTCTCTATGTAGGCAACACTCGGTACTGTGCTATCTAAGAAGAATTTCAGAAAAATTAACACTCAATATGTTCTTAAAAAGGAAAAGTGACTTTTTTAAACGAATGAGCAAATGATTTTCAAAAGACAGTCATGCTGCTGAGACAGCATGTTTGTATCGATTATTTTTTTAAAAAAAACTTCATCTGTACAATTGAAAACCTTGGAAACAAATTTTTCTAATCCATTTGTAATTTTTCTAAATTACAAATTAGTTCCAAAGGCAATTAAAAGATGGAAACAATTAATTCCAAACTAATAGAAAGATGTGTTTTCATATTTTTAAGAAATGGGCGAAAACTGCTTAAATCTTTGGTTTTAGATCCATTTGTTAAAACTATAAAAATACAGATAAATATAAATAAATAAGTCATTAATGGACTTCTTCCATTTGTATCCTCCTAAAAACAAAAACTTCAAAAACAAACCAAAAAACTCCTAAGTATTAAAATAAACTGAACTCAGTATCAGACTTTTAAATCATTTACAAATAATTAAACCAAATTTTTTTTAAAAATGAGGCATATTAACCACATAAATTTTAATAGAGTTATTAATACATTTAGTGAACATAAAAATAAATTATTTTCTAGTGATATAACAAGAATCATTTTTAAAGATTTTATTTATTTATTCTAGAGAGAAAGAGAGCGAGCCTGAGTGGGGGGAGGAACAGAGTGGGAGAGACTGGAGAGGGAGAGAGAATCTGGAGCAGACTCAGAGCTGAGCTGAGCTCAGAGCCAGAGGTGGGGGCTCGATCTCACAACCCTGAGATCATGACCTGAACTGAAACCAAGAGTCAGACGCTTAGCCTACTGGGCCACCCAGGTGCTCCAACAAGTATCATTTTTAAAAGAAACATTCATCTCGGGCGCCTGGGTGGCTCAGTTGGTTGGGCGACTGCCTTCGGCTCAGGCCATGATCCTGGAGTCCCTGGATCGAGCCCCGCATCGGGCTCCCTGCTCGGCAGGGAGTCTGCTTCTCCCTCTGACCCTCCCCCCTCTCATGTGCTCTCTCTCATTCTCTCTCTCTCAAATAAATAAATTAAAAAAAAAAAAACGAAAGAAACATTCATCTCATCTTTCTTTAATTTCTAACTTGTGTATGTTTTAAATATATACATATTTATTATGTTTATAACATATATAAAATATAACATTTGAAATACATATATATTTTAAATATATATAAATATATAGTATATACTACATGTACCTAATAGTCTGGAAAAGTTTATAATTTAGAGATAAATAAACCTATATTGGTGTATATTCATCATTTTTTCTATTCCTAATGGGATACACTATTTTAAACAAGATCTTTGAGAAAGAAAAGAGGAAGGTGTATACACATTTCCAGGGTCCTTCAAATAACCTTCCGTCAAGGTCCAGGGGGACCTGAGGCATTAAGTAATGGCCTGCCCTTCCCACACTCCTGATCTTTTTCCTCAGGCAGGCAGCCATCTGAGAGCAGCACAGAACTTTTTAAGTCCCTAAGACGCTTAACAGTGTTACAGTAGTATATTCGGCTGCCTTTAGGAGTTAAATATTATAATTTCTTATTAATTCAATGGAAACTAAAGATAACTCAAATTTAATAAGAATCTTAATGTAAAATTCCAAACCCAAAAAGGAACCCATCTCATCAATAACTCTTAATTATACAAACTCATAACCACACCTCACTTTTAAGAATATCCAAATTCTGTGAATACATTTTGAATATCTGAATGCTACGGCCTGCTGTTTCTCAGACAAGGGTCTGCAAGAATATTCTTGGAGATAAACAAATTAATGAAACTTCATTTCAAGTCTCCTTTTGATATGAATGTAACACGGGCTTAAAAAGGTATATTCTGGATCATCCAAAAGACAGCCTTACAACAGATAATTGCCATCTATTTCAGTGTGAAAAGTTAGCATCTTTATTTACAACTATACCGAAACTAAGCAATAATAAAAAGATACCATTTATTTTTTAATCCACTTGATCTCCAACACTAAACCAAAAACTCTAGGGTTCAGTAAGACGTTTTGTTGTCAGTTGATGTTAAACAGACTATGTACATTACTCAAGAATAAAAACCACTGTCATAATCAATTTTTAAGTGGGAAATCCCAGCAGAAATAATAGAATTAACGTGCATGACTGATCTGTAACCTGATAAATATGGCTTGACTACTATATTGTTTGAATGAGCTATAAACACAAGGCAGCTTATAAGAGAACAGTTCCAGGTGACAGAACCAAGTTTATCTAAATAGAAAAATATAAATTTAAAGTAAAGTGATTTTCCATGTTTTCACAAAGCTTTTTCTTCTCATGAGTGTTTTATAAGTTGGTATTCACAAATATTTGAGAAAGACCCAAATTTATGGTTTATTTTATTTTGTCTGTAGAACTCCTCAAAAAATATCTTTCTATTCACTCAGATACAATTTTGGTCTAATTATTAGTTGACAGATTTAGCAGAACTAATTCACCTTTACTTACATATGGGCAATAATAAAAATAACCCTATATACAGAATATTCAGAAACAACAAACAAAAAATGTATGATAGGCATAGAATGTTTGATGAGATTTAATATATAATTATAAAATCATTTAAGAAATTCAATCTATTTTTATTAATTTAATAGCAACCATGGCTTTTTCATTCTTCATAGAGGCTTTGTGTTGATAGTTTCTGTACCTGAAACTGTTCTGAGTTGTTTTGAGCTTCAATTACATTTCAAAATACACCGTGCTGTCAAATCCAACTGATTGCAGAACCCATTCTTCATATATATGTTACACACACACACACACACACACACACACACACACACATTCCATCAGTCTGGGGATTAACTATGCATAAGACTATCACCTGCCTTTAAAATTATACCTTTGACACCTAATCCTGGTTGAGCCATGAAAAGACTTCTAAGTGATTTATATGCCATTATCATAAGAGAATTATAATATCAAAACAAAATCATAACAAAACACAGTAATACTTTCTGATAAGAAACAGCCCATATTTTTCATTATAAGAACTTATGGAATTATTACTATGTTCTCAATAATATTTGGTTCTCAATAATATTTTCTCAATTTTTACTAAAGAAAAGATTATAATATCCTGTATATCAACTGGATCATTAAAAATTATAAATTACACCAGTATGGGGTTATATTTGTTCACTCTGTTAAGCCATTGCTTATTGATACAATGTCATGATTCAAATTTGTTGTGCTATCTTTTTGAACATGTGGACCAACAATCAAAGAAAGTCCTTAGCGGGAAAGTATGTGAGGAAAATAGGTCTTTATGACAACATCCTTTTTTTAAAAAGAAAAAAGCAAATTCTGCAAACTGACATAATTAATAATTAATTTATTACCTATGTGCACAGTAATTTTTTTCAAAATTTAGTAAATGCACCTTATTAAAATTATCATAAAGTATCCCTCTGCTTTAACAGATTTAGAACAAACTGCTTTATGTCAAGATGTTGGCCTCAAGAATAAAATAACACCTAGTGATCTGAAGGAAAACTTTCGTAAGTCTGCAAGAATAATGATTCAACTACCTAAAATGTTTCCTTTTTCCATGTAAAAAACAATATGTAAATTAAGTGTAAATATAGTGAGCATCCATATACTAAATGTTTATAATATATGAATTCTGTAGTATATCATGAACAATCTTTCATTCTGATGTATTTCACATATACAGATACCTTAGCAGCCACTAAATACATTTTCCCTTAATTTTACTTTGAACTGAAGCACAAATTGAAACATATGCACTGAATTTTTAAAAGGTATTATTTCACGTGTAAATAGCGCCATCTTCTGGCGCAGTTGAAACAATTTGTGTATTAACATAAAATGCATTATGGATTGTAACTGCCGTTTTCTTGACAAGTTATATGTACAGTTTATTGAATACAAACCCTTAATCTTGGGGCACCTGGGTAGCTTAGTCAGTTAGGGGTCCAACACTTGGTTTTGGCTCAGATCATGATCTTAGGATCCTGGGACTGAGCCCCATGTGGGGCTCCTCGCTCAGCATAGAGTCTGCTTGAGATTCTCTGTCCCTCTCCCTCTTCCCTTCCCACTCATGCTCCTCTCTCTCTCTCTAAAATAAATAAATAAATCTTAAAAAAAAAAAAAACCCTTAATCTAAAATCAGTTGATTTTTTAAAAATAGCCTTTAAAAACAAGAGCATTAATTAGCATGTCTTCAAATTGATAAAATTTAACAAGAGACTAAGTCAGAAACTCTAGATTCTACTATTAAATCTTCTAACTAGATATTGAATCTTAGACTAACCATGTATCCACTCAGGACCTCAGTTTCCTCAACTATAAGATTGTTCTACTAAGTCATTAATTAAGTTACTTTCAGTCTAAAATTCCATTTGATTCTAGCTTTAGAAATTTTCATTTCTGGTTTTAGCATCCTAATATTGAATTTAAGCCTGTTTATGACACACTTTTTCATAGTTATCTCTTTTGGTGATATGGGTTTGTTTGGTTATGCTCTCTGCTTGAATTTTCTTCAGAAATAAATCTTAATTTATATTTATACTTCTCACTGTCCAAATAGCTTTCCCCCAAATATTAGAAGGACTTCACTGAATTATAAATAAATCTAAACTCAAGTAACTGAAAACAAGTTTCTAAAAAACATTCTATAAAGATAAGATGGTTTAGATAAGATAGGTCAATGTCGAATGGAGCAATTAAAATTAATAGGAAAGACATCTCTCCAAAGCTTCTGGAAACTTAAGTGTTTATGTGATAAATAAGAAATAAAATAGGCTGAGTTTGGGCAGTTCTTCCTAACATACCCATAGACTTCACCAACACTAGCCTGTAGTGCAGGCTTGCCACCTTGGATTTATCTGTACTACCAGTACATTCTTCTCCCTTTTAAGTCATCGATTCAATTCTTGCCTCCAAATAGCTTGCTCTCATATATATACATATGTATATGTATATCTTCTTTTTTTTTTTTTTTTTAGTTTTTGATGTAGTGTTCCATGATTCATTATTCCAACTCTTTGGCATCCATCTAGTCCAGGTTCTCAACCTCCTAGGCCCTCCTGGGCCTGTAATACTAAAATATCCATTATGGTCTAATGCTTTTCTAAAAGTAATGTAAGGATCATTTGGGATGCTGGTTAAAACATGTCATCTCCTAGACCCCATAAAGTAGACCAGCACTGTCCAACAGAAATCTCACATGAGTCACACATGTAATTTTAAATGTTCTTGTAGTCAGATTAAAAAACTAAAATGAAATAAGTGAAATAAATCCAATACATGTGAAAATATCATTTCAATATGTAATCGATTGAAAGACATATCACTGTGATACTTTACATTCTTTTTTTTTATACTAAGTCTTTGAAATCTGGTATTCTTATACTTGTAGCATATCTCAGTTCAGACAAGCACATTTCAAGTGCCTAAGAGCCACCTGTGGCTAGTGGCTATGGTACTGGACTGAATTAGATTTGGAGAAGGGAGAATAAAAGTCAGGAATCTACATATAGCAAAATACCCAAGTGATTCTTTCACACTCTCAAGTTTGAGGACCACCACTCGAGACCGTCCTATATACGATCCATTCTACAACCACTACTGAATTTACACTTGAAAAAAATACCCCTTTAATTATGTCAATTCTAAGAGCCTAGAAATCCCTGGTACGTCCAACTTATTTCAGATGGATATTCAAAGCTCCCAAAATGTGGCCTCACCTCATCCATCCAACCTGCTCTCCAATTTGAAAATGTCTTGGGTTCTTCCATGAAATTTTCCTAGGCAAGTATTCAAATGATCATTCATTCAACAAATATTGTTGGACTAGCCACTGTCATCATGGATCCTCCTCTGACCCTCCCCCTCTCATGTGCTCTCTCTCAAATAAATAAATTCTTTTTTTTTTTTTAAGATTTTTATCCATTTATTTGACAGAGAGAGACAATGAGAGAGGAAACACAAGCAGGGGGAGTGGGACAGGGAGAAGCAGGCCCCCCGCGGAGCAGGGAGCCCGATGCGGGGCTCGATCCCAAGACCCTGGGACCACGGCCTGAGCTGAAGGCAGACGCCCAACGACTGAGCCACCCAGGCGCCCCAATAAATAAAATCTTTAAAAAAACAAAAAAACACACCAGGTTTTGGCGTCTTCTTCCCTCAGGCCGGTCTAGTAGACCACAACTACACACGCCCAGCCGGGACCCTGCGGAGCTTGACCACCCAGAACTGGGCGACCACGCCTACCCCCTGCGCCTGCGGACAGGCCAGCTCCGAAAAGCGCCCAGAGGACCTGCAGGCCCCGCCCCACGGGGCGGGGCCTAGAGGCTCATCGCGCCTGCGCGGAGGCCCGAGCGCGGGCTGCCCGTTACTTTTGAAACGAGTGGCGGGGAACTGCTGTGGGCGTCTCTGCTGTCGCTCTCTGCCGGGGGAAGCGCACTCCTTCGTCTGTAGGACTGGCCATGGCGCTGCAGCTCTCCCGGGAGCAAGGCATCACCCTGCGCGGGAGCGCCGAAATCGTGGCCGAGTTCTTCTGTAAGTCGTCCTCGCGCAGGCCGGAGGGCGGGGTGAACTGAGGCCAGGCCGCCCGGTAGGCCCGGGGCTCAGCCGCGGAGGCGGGGGAAGCGGGAGGGGGTGGAGGGGAGGCCGCGAGGCCGCGAGGCCGCGAATTAAGCTCTCTCTGCCCCAGCCTCCTGCCCGGCGGGAGAATCTAGGAAGAAGCGGATGCAGACGCCGCCTCCGGGCTCCTTGCTAATGGTGGGGCTTGAGGCCTAGGTGCTGCTGAGGCCTGCGGCGCGATGTAGCCCCTCCACCTGCAGCGTTGCTTTCAACTACAGAGCCAGGCACTTTCCGCCCGCCCCCAGCCTCCGCGACTTCAGACGGAGTAGGACCGGGGTGGGGGCCACGTATAGTTTTAACAACCCCTCGGCCCCTCTTTGATTCTGGTATTGGCGGTGATGGACTAGAGTTAGGAAACGCCATTCCGGACCAGGACAGTTGGGCCTTCTGATAGGATCTGGCAGGACTTGTGAGGAGAAAAGGAGGAAAAAGAGGGAAAGGTTTGCTGAGAGCATTGCAGAGAACAGTTACTCAGTTGCTAACTGAGATGCAAAAGCCTATTTTGACACCCTCTAACCACATAATCTGAATTGGGACTTGGATTACAGTGAGTTGTAGTACTACTTTGACAGTAGATTAATGCAGTTTGGCGTTTTTCTCTTTTTTTGCCACAGAAATGCAGGTATCGTGTTCTCTCTTAATTAGAAGCAAGGTTTTAAGAATGTTTAATGCCACTTTTTACCTACTCTGCTTTCAGCAAAACACCCACAAACACGTTAAGGCATTTATGGTTTTATGCCATTAATGAAACGTAGCCACATCTAAATATGTTTTATTTTCCAGAGTTACAAAGTGATAATGACTTTTCTTTAACATTCCTTTTGTTTCCAGCATTTGGCATCAACAGCATTTTATATCAGCGTGGCATATATCCATCTGAAACCTTTACTAGAGTGCAGAAATATGGACTCACCTTGCTTGTAACAACTGATCCTGAGCTCATAAAATACCTAAATGATGTGGTGGAACAGCTGAAAGGTATTTAATTGTTGCAAACCATTTTGAGTTTTGCAGGCCTTGTAGAACCCATATTTTCTGGCATCTTGGTGGTCATTTTTCAGCTCTGTACAAAAAGGTATAAAACACTACAACCTCAAATATAGTGATTCTTAATTGGAAGGAAGCAAATAATATATAAATTGAAAGAAAGTCCACCCTTCCCATACTGCAGTTTGAGTGGGTTGAATATTTTGATATTAGGAATCTGATATGGCTTCACAAAACTGTCTCCATCAACTTCCTTAGAAATGATTTTTGCAGTTCATGTAGCCAGATGGAACAAGTTGGAATTTTCTGTCCTTATGATGGTGTTCACTATTGGAGAAAAATCCACTGTATATTTTTAACATATATTTTCTGTAACTGCCTAGAGTTTAAAGCCATCATTACTTAAAGGAAAATAAAATTGGATCCAACCTGGAAACTAAACTTAAAGAAAAGAACTACTAAGTAATAGAGCACCCAGTAGAGTTTTATTTTTTATATATTTCCATTTGTCTTTTTTAAAATCCTGCCTATAATCAGTAAGCCTTTTCTATCTGAACACTCACTGTTTTTTTTTAGCTCAAGAAATTACTGTATTGAATCAATACTTGTTCTCCATCTATTCCTTTTTCCCCTCATATTTTTCTCTACTTAGGATTCTCACTTCTAATTTTTCTGTTGTAGGATGTTTCTCCCTAGCTCCCCATTTGATCTTCCAAAACTAGTTCCAAAAAACACTAGTCATCTTTTTTTCTTAATTCATGAGTCATATATATTTCTTTGTATCAAGTAGCTTTATTTTTAAAATTAGATTGGTTTTTTTTTTTTTTTGATTATCTTCAGGGCTAAAAAGTAAGATTATTAGTAAGCAACTAATAATCTATGTCATCTTAATTTGATGGAGAAGCAAGCCCCACCTAAGCTACTGGTTTTTGGGTTGTCTCCTTTAAGACTACACTGAGGATATTTCTTCACCTCGGATGTATGCAGACCTTCCTATTTAATTTCTCCCTTTTATTTTAGTTAAAATGGAGGAATTGCTCTTCTTAGAGGCAAATTGTTCAATCTGAATCCCCATTCCTCTAGCCTTAAGGATTTTATCCTAGTTCTTCTCTGGTATTTTTGATTTCTTTGTTTTGATCTCTCTTCAGTTTTAAAAGAAAAAAATTTCCACCCACCCCAAATCCTTAAGTTACTACCCAATTTCTTCCTTTTCAGAGCTAAATTGAGAAAAAGTTGATATATGTCAAGAAAAACTTGATACAGGGCGCCTGGGTGGCTCAGTTGGTTAAGCGACTGCCTTCGGCTCAGGTCATGATCCTAGAGTCCCGGGATCGAGTTCCTTATCGGGCTCCCTGCTCAGCAGGGAGTCTGCTTCTCCCTCTGACCCTCCTCCCTCTCCTGCTCTCTGTCTCTCATTCTCTCTCTCTCAAATAAATAAATAAAATCTTAAAAAAAAAGAAAAAAAAAAAAAGAAAAAGTTGATACATACGACAGCCCGTGTCTAGCAAGTGGCTATTTTTGTACTGCCTGCAAACTAAGAATGTTTTCAGATTTTTTTTTTTTAAAGATTTTATTTATTTGAGAGAGAGAATGAGATAGAGCATGAGAGGGGGGAGGGTCAGAGGGAGAAGCAGACTCCCTGCTGAGCAGGGAGCCCGATGCAGGACTCGATCTCAGGACTCCAGGATCATGACCTGAGCCGAAGGCAGTCGCTTAACCAACTGAGCCACCCAGGTGCCCTGTTTTCAGATTTTTAAAGGGCTGTTTTTTAAAGACTATGCAACAGAGACCTAGGTGGCCCACAAACCCTAAATATTACAAAATTGTTTTGTCTCTTAAAAAAAGAAAAAAAAACACTACAGATTCCTGAGTGTACTATCCCAATTTCCAAGATTAATTCAGGGCTTGTCCTGAGGCCCTCTTCTCACTATAATCTCTCTCTAGGATGATCTCTGACATGTACATAGCTTCACTAACAACCTTGGTGTAGTTGACTCACAAATGTACATCCAACCCAATTCCCCTAATTGTGCTCATATATTTCGTGGCTCCGTTGATATCTTCATCTGGCTATCCCAGTGATACCTGAAAACTAAACTTAAGGCGCTCCTGGCTGGCTCAGTCAATGGAGCATGCAACTCTTGATCTCGAGATTTTAAGTTCCAGCCCCATGTTGGGTGTGGAGATTACTTAAAAATAAAATCTTAAAACAAAACTTAAGCATCATCTCCCATTTGCATTCTTTTTCTCAGTGAATGGATCAGCCATCCAACTAGTGATATAAACTAGGAAGTTGGGAGCTATCTCAGTCTTTCTTCTTGCTTACTCATAAGTAATCAATAAATCCTAACAGTTTTAACCATGAAATCTCTTGAATCTATCTACTGATCCATCTCTACCAGCTTATCCTTCTCTAAGCCTTCATTACCTCTTGCTTGAATTGCTAATTAATTGGTGTCTCTAGATCCCCTCTTTACCTCTACTCTACTTTCCACATCACAGCCAGAAGGATAGTTCTGAAATACAAATTTAATTACATCACACCATACTTCAAATACAGTAATGACTTCCCTGGTTCTTGAAGTGTAACTTCTTTAATTTGGCCCATATGGCCTTGCATGGTCTGACCCCTGTGTATCGTACACAAACTGACCTTGTTCATTCTCCCCTTTCTTTACTGCAGTTGTATTACCCTTCTTTCAATCCTCTGGTCAGATGCTCTTCCCTTTTCAATATTTAAGACCTGTACCCTTTTCTGTATCATTTTGCATATTTAATGATAATTTATTTGTAGAACTGAAGTCAAGTGAGAACTCCCTGAGTGAGTCCAGTTTTCCTCTATTATGCTCTCATTGCGTCACATACTGCACCTTCATAGCGTTTATCACAATTATAATCTTATATTTATCGGTGCAGTGATTAGATTAATGGCCATCTCCTGCATCTTACTTGGATTAGGGTGTACTTCATGTTTTCTACTCTGTCTTCAGCACTCAGTACTATATCTGGTACAAATACTGAGAATTTGAAAACAGGAGCTAGGTTATTGTGGGGCAGGTTTTCTGTACAGGTTGGCAGAGTTCCGAAATACTAGCGGTAGGAATTTGCTGAGGATAGAAAGTGAGACCTGGGAAGAGAGTTGTTTTGTAATGCAGTGAAACAAAAAAGATTCCTTGTTATGTATTGCAGATTGGTTATACAAGTGTTCAGTTCAGAAACTGGTGGTTGTCATCTCAAATATTGAAAGTGGTGAGGTCCTTGAAAGGTGGCGATTTGATATTGAGTGTGACAAGACTGCAAAAGATGACAGGTAAGTATGAAGTAAATTGCTTCCATTTTTACAGATCTTTTTCCAAAACTGTTTTCTTTTACTAGATGAGTTCTATTTATATTGAACTAGTTTCATATAAGGTAGTTTGTTTCTAAGTATGTTAGATGTGATCTTTAATCTCCTGTGGAGAAGGATTGGGCTCACAAATTGTGCTCACGAAAGATTTTTGCCTATCACGGACTTTTAACATAATTGCGCTTAGGCTAAATCCATAAATTTCAAACTTTAGTGTTTATGATGCTATATGTAAAGCTACCATGGTGTCCGTCCTAGGTGGGCCATTTCATGAATTGTAGAAAGGTACTTTTAACCATGAAGTATTATCCTAGACTTTCTCCCAGCTTACTGTGCAGCTCTACTGTATTTCATTTAATGCTACAAACTTCTTAGACACTCCCTTTTTTTTTTTTTTTAGGATTTTATTTATTTATTTAATAGAGCATGCGAGAGAGGGAACATAAACGGGGAGTGGGAGAGGGAGAAGCAGGCTTCCCGCCAAGCAGGGAGCCCGATGTGGGGCTCAATCCCAGGACCCGGGAATCATGACCTGAGCCAAAGGCAGTCGCTTAACTAACTGAGCCACCCAGGCGCCCCTCCTTAGACACTTATTAAACTGAAGTTTTTAGATTATCTGGATGGGAGATGCCCATCATTATATGCTAATTTCTAGCATTGTCCTAGGCATGCTTACCTGTAAACTCTGAACTATCTCTCATAATGAAATGATGGAGTTTGCTCCTGAAGCCTTTGGTCTGTTTTAGAAAATGTTTAATTATTAACGCCATACACGAGTAACATCTTATTTGAGGCAATAGGAAATTAGACATTTAGGCATTACTAAAAATGCCAAAATGATTATACCGATTCAATATTTTAGATACTGCTTGTTATCTTTATTTTAAGACATGCTGAAGCTTTCCTGACTTGAAGTACGTGGCAGGTTTTCTAGTCATCTGTTATTTAATGACCTGATACTAAGAACAACCCTAAAAAATGATTGGAAGGATAAATGAAATAATAGAGATACATATTGGGCCTACTAAGTTTCTTAAGGACATATATTTATTTTCATTTAAAAAAAAAACTTTTGAATGTATTACTTATTTGATTTTGGAAGCATTTAATCAGATAAATAATCTTACCTGTGTTTGAAATAACTTGTTAAAACTTAAAATGAATTAATTGGTTTCTTTGATAGTGCACCCAGAGAAAAGTCTCAGAAAGCTATCCAAGATGAAATCCGTTCAGTGATCAGACAGATCACAGCTACGGTGACATTTCTGCCACTATTTGAAGTTTCTTGTAAGTATTATACAACTTCACACTGGCTTAAATTTGTTGTGGAAAAGACTAAGCTACTACTTTAAGAATTAACACGCTCATTAAGTTTTTTCTTAATTATAAATGTCATGTTATATGAATGAGAAAACTGTGATAAAGCTAAAGTAATGCTATTTGCATTTTATTTACAAGTGCTGAAAAGGAAAGGAATGAAAGTATTCTACAGTACTCACTCTTGAATATGTTGATGTAATTTCATTATTTTTATTTTCTACACATTTCTATGTATATAATTAAGATTTATAGCTATAATTGTGTCTTTGTTTTCTTAGTTACTCCTTCATTCATCAGATATATCCTAAATACCTACTACATGCCAGATGCTGTTCTGGGCACTGGGATACAGCTGTCACAGAACCAAGGTGTTATCTTTTCTATGGCTTAGATTCATGCTGTCTCATGATTAATTTTATACTTTCTACAAATATTTTTAGTGGTTTTCTCTTTAAAAAAAAAAACTTGAGTTTTTCATAAAGTAAAAGGAGTACAGTATTTTCTGTACTAAAATTTCCATTGAGGAAAAGCAATTAGTTAATATAATTGATTAGAGATCAAGGTAAACTAGCTTTTCTGACACTATAGATGGTTCAAATGTGAAAGACACAGGAAGGGTGGTTGTACTTTAGAAAAAAATAATTGTACTTTAATGATCTTATCCCCAATTTAGGTTCATTTGATCTAGTGATATATACAGACAAAGATTTGGTTGTACCTGAAAAATGGGAAGAGTCGGGACCACAGTTTATTACCAATTCTGAGGAAGTCCGTCTTCGTTCATTTACTACTACAATCCACAAAGTAAATAGCGTGGTGGCCTACAAAATTCCTGTCAATGACTGAGGATAAGATAAGGACAGTGATGTACTTATAACTCTCATATGTGGTTTTCCTGAAACCAAGTCAACTATAGTTGATACATTTTGTTTCATTGGTTAATTTTTAGATGGGGAAAACTTAACATTATACTTCTATTGAACTGTGCATAATTGTTACATTTTTTGGTACCTGTATGACTTTAACCAGGGTTGGTATAAATTATTGCACATTGTTCAGAAGGGAACTAGCAGATTACATCAGCATTGTTAATGTCAATTCCTTTAAAGGTGGTAACTGTAGATGGAAAACTTTTGCCATAAAGCTAAATGCCTTCTTAAACCTTTTGGTCAAGTACCTTGATTCGGAATATAGGTAGGGAGATATTTAAATATAAAATACAGCAAAAGAAGTCCGAAAATTCAGAGTCTTTGTTTAGATCCTGAAATTATCTAATGATAATCTGTAAGTAATGAAATGCTGCTCCCGTTAGGTCCTTTTGCCATTTATTTTATTTGTATATTTTCCGTATTAAAAGCATTTCCAATTATTTGATTTTAATTTATATAACTTGAACTTACAAAGCTATGTATATTGCCACTGTTTAAATTCCTGTGATACAGAACACTTAAAAATTTTTTTTATGTTTTATAAAATCAAGCTTTAAATGATGTAATAAAGTTAAGTATGTATATTTTAATTTGTCTTAACATATTTTTATATTGGTGTGGTATTAACACAGTTAAATAGTAAGATGGATTCAGTATAGCAAATAATATCTTGTACCTACCAGGGCCTAAGAATACAAACTTGAATCAGTCTGGAGGTGCTTTCAATTTAATGGACAAGCTTTGATTATACCCCTTTAATCTTATAACTGTGGACTTAAAATAAGCATCATTCTTTGTATAAAATAATACATGTCATTTGGAATTAATTCATTTTAGCATATGTTGGGCTGTAGAACTTTTCTATACTCCTAGCCTTATTGCTAGCCTAGTCTTCCTTATTTTGCCAAGGTCAGTTGAAGGCAGACTTCTAAAAAGTCTCTTCTAATCTCTGTTCTAAATCTTATCTCATTTTGTAATAATTAAGTGCTTAGTATCAGACACTGTTCTAAGCTCTTTATATGTATTAACTCGTTAATCTTCACTATAAAGTAAAAACACATAGCCTGTATCCATTCCTTCAAAAATTACAAAGTGAACACCTGTTAATGTGCCAAGTATTGGGATGAATGAAACAGGGTCCTGGCCTTTCTGAAGTTTGAGATATGAAGGAGAGGAAAGTAAATGGCAAGCTTCCAAGAAGTAACTACACAGATTTATCACATATGTATTTGTCTTTGTTATTTCACCTGAATGATCTGTTTGATCCTGTTGCCTGCTTGTTAAGAATAAAGGGCAATTCTTCACTACAAGACAAGTGTAGGTCCCCATATTTGATGATGGGTGTAGTGAATGCTGTTGCGAAAGCCCATTCCCTTGAGAGTTGAAGCTATCTAATTTTAGAGGTCCACCCACAACTCTTGCCTGAATAAGAAAAGTAGTTATGCAGAAATGGAAATGATTTTGAATTAGGTATGGTCAAGAGTCTGGTTTTCCAACATGAGATATAGTACAAAGTGGTCACTAGTAAGATTAAAACATTTGCATTCTTGGCTGTACATAACCTTCATAACATGACACATTAGGTTGAGAAAGAAAGCAGAAATGGAAGTTCAGTAAAAATATGGAGAGAGTTGAAAATTCTGGAACTACTTTTGGGACAAAAGTTTGAAATTCTTTTCAGAAAGCAGTAACTGCTTTAGGAAACACAATGCCTCTGCTAAATGGCCGGAAATAATGTGGTTCTTCCCCCACAAAAGCTCACTGGTAGCAACTTTCTTAATATATCATTGGTAATACTTAAATTTCTGTCATTTGTGTTTTTATTTACCAAATTAAATGACCCTAATATTATCACTTTTAATTTGTGATTTCTAACATTGCTAATTTCCCCCCCTTATAGATTATGTATCATTTAAGAAATACAAATACAAAGCTATGAGCTTTGTTGGTAAAGCTCAATTGGAAAAGCTTTGGCCTATGGCTCCAACTAAACTTGTCCTGCCTTCTTTCCTATACCTTGAAGCTCACCTTAGGAGGGAGATATTTAAACCAACAGGTTCAAGAATTGTGAAAGACTGATGAGTACTGGGTGTTACATGTAAGTGATGCATCACTAAATTCTCCTGAAACTAATATTACAGTATATGTTAATTAAGTAGAATTTAAATAAAGATTTGGAAGGAAAAAAAAAAAAAAGTGCATGACTTCCATACCATGTTAAACAGAGAAGCCAAGATTCCAAGAGAGTCTGATAGGCCTCTGATAGGCCTGGCCTGGACTCTGACTCGGTTTTGCTTACCATAGGTACAGGAATGAAAACAACATGTTCCGATTGGGCCTGTCGAGGTCTGAAACAGAGCCCCAGAAGGGACTGAACCACACCCGGTCTTCAGGACTCTTCTCCCAGTGTCATCAATTGGACAGAGAAGTCAAGCCTTGATGGGAATTTTACACAGAGGTATAACAATCTCATGTTTTAGTTGGCTTTCGCTTCATAGCAAACAACCATAGAATAACCGTAAGCATTTTTTTTCCCTGTAAGTCTGTGGATTATCTGGGGTGCTTGTTTTATTCTCATGCAAATCTGCAGGTCACATGTTTCATTCTACCATTGAAGGGGCAATAGCTAGCCAGGACTTTTAAAGCTTAGTTTCCAAACTTTGACACTGACATTTTTGCCCACATTCCACTGATTTTGGCCAAGTCTTGTGGCTGAGCCAAACTTCAGTGGGGCAGGGAAGTATACTCCTCCCATGGAGTTGGGGAAAGGGGTATGTGAAAGTGATAATATTATTATTAGACAGGAAAGATCAGAATAGCTATAATGCCGCATTGTAACTCATTTTCCACCAGATGTCACTAATGCTGCAATATTCAAATTAAGGTGAACTTTTGACTTTAAAGGCTGTAATATTCAGCTTTTCTTAGTGGAAATTAACAGTGGGATTTCTGGCTACAAAAATATAGACATCCAAGGAAGGAAATACAGCATCTGTAATTGGCTAAGCACTTCACATGAATTATTTAATTTAATTCTCACGCTTTAGTGCACAAGTAGAATTGCAGAATCAGCGGGCATGCAAACTGCACTACATTTTTTAGAGTTTAGATGGTCTCTTCTGTCCATGACCAAGGAAGCTCATCTGGCTCCTCAGCAAGCACATCAAAAGGAGTGTTTCTTCACCCGTTTCCTAATGGCTCTTACCTGTGACATCCTCTTAGCAATTGAGGGTCCAGAGCAAACTGGTTTTCATTTACTCCGCTTTACAAAACTCTACGTCTCTTTGGGTGCATTTGTATTTACACTTTCCTCAGATGACTTCCTGTAACTTATCCGTATTGTGCAAAGAATAAATCAAGTGTGCATTTGTGAGCAGTTGTGAAACACTTTACCCACCAGTCAAAAGAATTGTTCGTTAAGTAACCTCAGTTACTCTTTAGGGAATTAATTTTTGGCTAAAGTTGTAAATAATAATTTGTTATTCTTTTTTTAATTAAATATGTGAAATTAGATTTTAAGTTATTTTGTTCAGTGTAACCGTGATAAAAATTTGTGTTGGAATAACTATGGAATAGAAATGCTGCTAAATTCCAAATTTTATGAGCTACATTTTCTAAGAACAGATCTTTAAAGATCTTTCCATTCATCACGAACATGGCTTTGAAAGCCAGCAGTATTAACTGATGCTTATTAAAAAAAATCTAGTTGGGAAAGCTACTTAAGCTTCATTAGAGTTGACAATGCTGTTCCAATCTGGCAAAAACACTGTAGCCTTAGCAACAAAACTATTAGAAACGGCCTAGAGAGAAAAATGTCAAGAGTTGACCCTCTGATTACACAAGTCAGTTTATGTTACCATTTCACCTATTTTTGTGCTCTTACCATTTGATCTATTTTTATACTAGAGAAACATAATTTCATTTATTTGTATAAAGTCCATTGTCATCTGCGTTTATCTGCACCATTTTGCTATGCAAGCTTGTTTGCACAAAGGTACACATCCTATCAAAATCTTTATTGTTTTGGCATTTTATCTGTGCTGAAAAAGGCCTCTGAATATAAGCATGACTGCTCAGGCTCCACTTCCATGCAAGGGAAAGATGTCAAACCTCTTTAAAAGCTATCTAGATATGGACATGCCCAGTGGATACCTAGACATGGATGTGAATTTCTTTCTGAATGGCAGTCTCACTGACTCACACACATTTTCTTTAATCCTCACAACGACCCTAGGAGAGTTATTGTTGCCATTTTACACATGTAAAACCTGAGATTCAGGGAGGCTAGGTAATTTGCCCAACTTCAAACATCCAGAATCTGTCCCTGGGCCCGACCCCAAGGCCAATATTCTTTCTAATATATCTCCATTGCTTCTCAGAGACTAGGGAACAAAGGAGGGTGCCCCTGCTCCAGTGTGCACAGACTCAGCCAAAAAGACTAGACTGCTACATGACTCTAACCCCAAGTTGGGGAAGGAGAACTCAACAGTATTTGAGTATCAAGTTTCATTAATTTTTTAAAAAACACTTTTTCATAACAAGCGATCATTAAATGTTTATATACACACAGTATTTTGCTGTACCATAGCTGCATACATCTTCTTCCATCAGCATTTTCTTCTCTCATTCTTTCACTTGTTTTTGTAACTACATGCTGTGTTGGAATTTGAACGAGTGAGAAATAGAGGAGACAGAAGGCGATTGAGATGTATGTTATCATCCAAATCATGGGGTTCCCTAGCAAAGCTGGGTAGAGTGAGGCTTAGATCTCAAGCAGAAACAGGGTTTGCTACTACACCTCCAGAAATGAGCCGGGAATGGCCAGGCAACTGCAGGCATCCTCGCGCAAGCCCACTCCAACGTGGGAGCAAGAAGCCCTGCGTCCTGAACGCCAAGGGCACAATAAGAAAGCACTTGACTCGAACTCCTATAAGTCTTAGAAAGGTCTTTTCTCTGTTGCTTGGGATGGTGTGAGAGAGAAAGTGGAGAGAGGGGCCCCAAATCTCTGCCCAACACCACCTTCTGTCATCAGGATTGGAGTGGAGACCCGGAGAGTGGAGTAGCATGCATCCCTCTCGTTGAATATTTGCCAGCTTTTTAAGCTTTTTAGTGTATTACACTGTGCGTTCCACAGGCGTCCTGTGAGTTGCTTTAGGTAGCATGCTCACGGGCATTTTTTTTTTAATTTTAGTAGCTATGTATTTTAGTCTGTATTCAGAAAAACGTATAACATGTTCTAACACGTTACCATGAGCGAAGATTCTACAGTCCACTCTGAATATTTAAAGAAAAACCGATCAGTATTTTGTATGGATGATGCAAATGTAGACAAGGGAAGAAGGCCGCGCACTCATGATGGAAGGCTGCGAAGCAGTGTCGTAGCCCATGGTGCTCCAGCCTCCGAAGGGAGCCAGGGCAGCAGTCCCCTTAGCGGAGCCGCGCCTGCTCCCGCTACTGCTGCGCTCACACACGCCTGAACTCGCCTCCTCCCCACAGAGTCCTTCGGGAACTGCTGAAGGGCATCTTGCTTTCTGCCCACAAAAGACTCCGGCCCCATGAGTCCGGTAGAACGCCATGCAGCGCCCTAAGCTGAAAGTTAACTCGCCGTTCCATTTCGTATCACTAATTACGTCCAGTCATGTTGTCCAAAGGGGCTCACCAGACTTTGATGAAATGAGCACAGAGACTGTATCCACATGAAAATGTCCCAGATTTGAACACTAGGACACTCTTTGTTTATGACTCCACTTCCCCCCAAACTAAATCCCCTCACAAAAGCCCATAGAAATTAAAGTCCAAGTGCCTTCATTCTCAATCGTATACAGTTGGCTCAGTGTCAGCCAGAGGCTTTTACGCAGAGCCTGGGTTCCGGTAGCTGTAGCGGTGTCCGGGGATTTCACAGGAATGGGCGTAGCTTCTTCAGCCTCTTCAAAGTTGGTTCGAACCTCGAATTAGTTCTAGTCTCCAAGGGGTCAGCAGTCACCAAAGAAACTGCATCTCCCCTATAGAAGTTGTCACAAACAAAACTGTGGTCCCCCAATTAAGTGAATAGGTAATGGCGTGGCAGGTAACTTAGTGCTCCCTCTATTGGAGACAGCGAGGACCTGGGAACTGTTGGGTTTCAGTCCCACGGCAAGCCAGCCAGAGGCACCCGCCTTGAGTCCACAGCCTGTGAGTCCGTATTCACTGAGCACACAGCGCCCAGCAACCGTTGTGCTTCCACATGTTTAATATGTGTGTGTATTCCTTTGTGTTTGTTGTTGTTACTGTTTTGTTTTGGTGACTCGTGTGTAGTTATCTCCCATATATATTGCCTACTTTCAGGGAGTGACCTTTTCTTTTTTTTTTTTTCTTTCTATTAACATATAACGTATTATTTGTTTCAGGGGTACAGGTCTGTGATTCATCAGTCTTCCACAATTCACAGCGCTCACCATAGCACATACCCGCCCCAATGTCTATCACCCAGCCACGTCATCCCTCCCACCCCCCACCACTCCAGCAACCCTCAGTTTATTTCCTGAGATTGAGAGTCTCTTATGGTTTGTCTCCCTCTGGTTTCATCTTGTTTCATTTTTCTCTCCCTTCCCCTATGATCCTCTGCCTTGTTTCTCAAATTTAGAGAGTGACCCTGAGACATTATTGCCTTCTTCGAAAATTTAGATATTCTGGTTTCATTTCCTTGTGTCTCGTGTCCCATGCTTTTGGCACTTTGGTGCAAGATTGTGGTCTAGAGAAAACGTCTACTCCCAAACTCCTCCGAGTGTGTTCTCTCCAGAACAGTGGAGTGAAACACATTCTCCTCTGTCAGTGCATGAGGAATGGGGTAATGAACGTCACCCTGCTCCCTTAGCACTATGTTTAACTTACTAATATACCACATCTTATTTGTTCTGATAGTAGTAATTGTCATCACTCTTCCATAGACTTTTCATTCCTACCTAGGCAGGCTGAGTTGGACCTGGCTAGGAAGTAGTTGACTAGAACCAAGATTCTAAGAAAATAAAATACCACGGTCACAGTAAGAGCCAATGAATCAGGATTACTCTTTGTCAGGAAGGAACAGAAGGATACCAAAGTTTAGCAAGACTTTAAGAAGATTCTAGATATCACAGATGAAAGTAGTCAAAAGTTAGTATTCCAAAGACTGGCGCCATTTGAAAAGACAGAACACAAGCACAAACAAATAAAAAAGATTCCAAGACACTCAAATTAAGGGCAGAAACTTTTCTGTTCTCTCTTACTCCTTCCTGTCTCAGTAGGATCTGACCACTGGTGTAAGGAAAGAGACTGCAGCTGGGAAGGAAATGATGCCAAGATCTGCAGCTGCAAAGAGTCAGGGTTGTTTTTTTTTTTTTTTAACTTTTATAGTGTAAAATTAATACATACACACATTTTAAAAAACAAGCAGTACAGAGTGGTACCAAATGAAAAGTAAATTCCCTGCCTGAACCTGTTCCCCAACTCCTCATTTCCAGCTCCCTATTTTTAAATATTTTCTGTTCTGCTGGTGGTTATCACAATACCTCTGAAACCTATGTTAATACTTTCATTTCTTGTTTTATGAACTTGAAATAGCATCTATTGAAAGATGAGAAACTTACTTCTTTTATCCATCTGCTTCTACATTTTCCAGTTACATTGTTTTGGTTTTTCTGGTTATTACCATTTTAAAGAGTATGCTTACATCTGTATTTTGTTACATCAATTTTAGACAGTATATCTTGATTTTTTGCTATATAAATAAATAGGTGAAAAAAATCTGTGACATTATCTCTTCCATGTCTCTGCTGCCTTAATATTCAGACTTCCATTTTTTTTATATTATCAATGTTAATATTAGTCAGATTCTTTTACAGTTGTTGTCTTCCAAGTTTTGTTTATACGTTGATTCTACAAATTAAAATAGCATTTCCATTATTCCAATGATTAAATTACTCCTTACCGAAGGACCAAATAGCTCTACTTACTGAGAAAGAAAGGGTAATCTTATGTCATTAAAACTGAAAGATGAATGTTCCAAGTGTCAAAGTCAAGTGGGATTCCTTAAACCCAAACTTCAAGACTTTCTAGTACATTTAATTTGGTCGATGATATCTTTAATTTCCAAAAAATCTTTTTCTTTGTTCTTCTTTTATAGCCACCCATTCTTTGGCTTCTTGACTCTGAAGATGTTAGTTGGTTTTGTTTTCTTAATCAGTTTTTTTTTTTTTTTTCCCTGTTCTCTTACTTGTTTTCTTTAGGATTCGACTGTTACAATATCTGTTCCACTTGGACTTTCTCATTTTTGTTTTTCACTTACTCTAAATTATCTGGGTTTTTTTCCCCCCATATATGTGAGTGATGAAAAAGGTTGACCAGTATTGGTAGCGTGATTTGCCACTGCGGTATTAGACCTCTTTCTTGAATGAAAAGATGGATGGCAGGTTCTGTGTACATATAAGCTAGTAGTACTGTTTTAGGGTACATTTAGATATTTTGTTCACCATGTATTTTTTGAAAATTGACTTTTTAAAATACTACATTAAAATTAAAATATCGTATCTTATTTACTTAGTTTTTTGGTGCACCTCAAATTTTGTGTGCCTGGTTTCACTCACTGTAGTATCTATTTGGGCCAAGGGCCTGAAAGGTTAAATGTAATTTCCAGGTATGGTCAGTAGAGGGCAGCAAAGGGTACTGGAGTGAGCACTCACAGCCAAGGCCTGGGCATCCCTTTTTTCCCTCTATAGAGATAAAAATCCATCAGTGGTAGTAGAAAGTCCAGAGTGCCAGAATCAGGAGAGAAATTACTCATAGGGATACTGATCCAGAAGGGGGATCAGCTGAGGAGGCACAGTTCACAGCCTGGTATCTATCTTAGCGATGTGAACCACTAGACATCAGGAGGGGAATCATTTGACTTTCCCAGTCCTGACTCCTCCTACTCTCTGCCTGTCTAAAACCTCAGATCTGGCTCCGTAAAATAACAGGAGTCTCCTGTCCATCTTGGGAGCTGATGCAAACTTCCTGACTGAGAGTTAGGACATGGTACCAGCAGTGGCTAAGTGTTCCTCAACCAGCCATTTCAGGGAGGAGAGACTGAGTGGGATAGGGGCACCATAGGCAAAAACTGACAGCTGATGAAAACATTCACATATGTGTCAGTTAAATAATTTGGGAGCCAACCTAAATGGGATGTGGCTTAAAATATATTTTCTTTCCTCCTCCAGAAGGAAAGCATTGTTTAGGTGAGGAAAAACTATATGGCTTTGAAATTAGACAAACTTGACTCTGCAGATTATTTGGTATGTGGTTCTCAGTTACTTCACTTTATTGAGCTTCAGTTTCTCCATCTATAAAATGGAAATGATGATTCTTACCTCACAAATCTGCTGCAAGCAAATGAGATGTCCATAAACTGCCTGGCAAAGAACTTGGCAATTTGTAGTTACTCAATTGGCATTACTACCTGTTCTCTCTCCCTGTCTTTGGTCATGGGGGGAATACCCATTATATTGTTGCTATTTTTGAATAAAAAGTCTCATTGTCTCCTGTAAGCATAACTAAATTATTTGAAGGATTAATCTGTTAGGTACCATACTAACATTTCTGCAGTATGATCTCATTTAATTCTCACAACAACCCTATGAAGCAGATGCTTTTATCATCATTTTGATTTTGCAGATAAGGACATTGAGGCTTTAGAAGTATAACTGGTTTACCCAGTGTCATGTAGGTAGTAAATCATAAGGAAGGATTAAAACTAGGTAATTGGATTCCAGAGCTCATGCTCTCGACACTACATAATGTTTTCCAATATACACATTTAATCAAAGATTTAAAATTGTAAGGGAATAAATCAGAGAAGAAATTAAAAAATACATGGAGACAAATGAAAATGAAAACACCATGGTCCAAAAACTTTGGAATCCAACAAAAGCTGTTCTATGAGGCAAGTTTATAGCAATCAAGGCCTACCTCAAGAAGCAAGAAAAATATTGAAGAAACAACCTAAACTTACACCTACAGAAGCTAGAAAAAGAACAAACAAAACCCAAAACCTAAAGAAGGAAGAAAATAATAAAGATTAGAGCAGAAATAAATGAAATAGAAACTAAAAAAAACCCAATAGAGCAGATCAATGAAACCAGGAGCTGGTTCTTTGAAAAGATCAACCAAATTGATAAACCTTTAGCCAGACTCATAAAGGAGAGAGAGAGAGAGGACTCAAACAAAATCAGAAGGGAAAGAGGAGAAAGGACAACCAACACCCCAGAAATATGAAGGATTATAAGAATATTATGAAAAATTGTATGCAAACAAATTGAACAACCTAGAAGAAATGATAAATCCCTAGAAACATATAACCTCCCAAAACTGAATCAGGAAGAAATAGAAAACTTGAACAGACTGATTACCAGGAATGAAATTGAATCAGTAATCAGAAAACTCCCAACAAACAAAAGTCCAGGAGCAGATGGCTTCACAGGTGGATTTTACCGAACATTTAAAGAAGAGTTAGAAGGAAAGCTTCCAAAATCACAAATTCATTCTGTGAGGCCAACATTACCCTGATACCAAAACCAGGTAAAGACACTTAAAAAAAAAAAAAGAGGACGGCTGGGTGGCTCAGTCAGTTAAGCGTCTGCCTTCAGCTCTGGTCATGATCCCAGAGTCCTGGGATCGAGTCCCCCATTGGGCTCCTGGCTCAGCGGGGAGCCTGCTTCTCCCTCTCCCACTCCCCCTGCTTGTGCGCTCTCGCTCTCTCACTCTTGCTCTATCGCAAATAAATAAAACCTTTTTTAAAAAAGAGAGAACTACAGGCCAATATCTCTGATGAACACAGATGCAAAAATCCTCAACAAAATAATAGCCAACCAAATCCAACAATACATTAAAAAATCATTCACCGTGATCAAGTGGGATTTATTCCTAGGATGCAAACATGATTCAATATTCACAAATCAATTAACATCATACATCACGTCAACAAGAGAAAGGATAAAAAGCACATGATTATTTTAATAGATGCAGAAAAGCATTTGACAAAGTACAATATCCATTCATGATAAAAACTCTCAACGAAGTAGATTTAGAGGGAACATATTTCAATATAATAAAGACCATATAAAAACCTACAGCTAAAATCATACTCAATGGTGAAAAACTAAAAGCTTTTCCCCAAGATCAAGAGCAAGACAGGGGTGTCCATTCTCACTACTTGTATTCAACATAGTACTGGAAGTCCTAGCCCCGGGAATAAGACAAGAAAAAGAAATAAGTGGCATCCAAATGGGTAAGGAAGAAGTAAAACTTTCACTATTTGCGGGTGACATGATACTATATATACAGAAAACCCTCCAGACTCCACCAAAAATAGACTAGAACTGATAAATGCGTTCAGGAAAATCACAGGATACAAAATCAATATACAGAAATCTGCATTTTTATACACTAATAATGAAGAAGCAGAAAGAGAAATTAAGAAACAGTCCCATTCACAATTATACCAAAAATAATAAACTACCTAGGAATAAACTTAAACAAGGAAGTGAAAGACCTATATTCTGAAAACTATAAAACACTGATGAAAAAAAATTGAAGACAACATGAATGGAAACATATTCTATGCTTATTGATGGAAGAACAAATATTTTAAAATGTCCCATACCCAAAATGATCTACAGATTTAATGCAATCCCTATCAAAACACCAATAGCATTTTTCACAGAACTAGAACAAAGAATTGTAAACTATGTATGGTACCACAAAAGGCCCCAAATAGCCAAAGCAATCTTGAGAAAGAACAAAATTGGAGGTATCACAATCCCAGATTTCAGGATATATCACAAAGCTGTAATAATCCAAACAGTATGGTACTGACGGAAAAGTAGACAATAGATCAACGGAACAGAATAGAGAATCCAGAAATAAACCCATGATTTTATGTACAAGCAGGGAGGCAAGAATATACAATGGGAAAAAGATAGTCTCTTCAAAAACGTGTTGGAAAACCTGGACAGGTACATCCAAAAGAATGAGACTGGACCACTCTCTTACACTATACACAAAAATAAAATTCAAAATGGATTAAAGACCTAAATGTAAGACTTGAAGCCAAAAAAGTCCTAGCAGAGAGCACAGATAGTAATTTCTCAGACACTGGTTGTAACAACATCTTTCTAGATATGTCCCCTGAGGCAAGGGAGACAAAAGCAAAAATAAATTATTGGGACTACATCAAAATAAAAGGCTTCTGCACAGCAAAGAAAACCACCAATAAAACGAGAGGACAAGTTACTGAATGGGAGAAGATATTTGCAAATGATATAAAAGGTTAGTATCCAAAATATATAAAGAACTTATACAACTCAACACCAAAAAACCAAATGATCCAATTTAAAAATAGGCGGAAGACATCAACAGACATTTCCCCAAAGAAGACACAGATGGCCAACAGACATGAAAAGATGCTCAAATCACTCATCATCAGGGAAATGGAAATGAAAACCACAATGAGCTATCACCTCATACCTGTCCAAATGGCTAAAATCAACAACACAAGAAACAACAGGTTTTGGCAAGATTGTGGAGAAAAAGGAACTCTTGTGCACTGCTGGTGGGAATGCCAACTGGTGCAGCCCCCTGTGGAAAACAATATGGAGGTTCCTCAAAAAATTAAAGGTAGAATTGCTATATGATCCATAACTGAGTATTTAGCCCCCAAATAGAAAAACACTAATTTCTGGGGTGTCTGGGTGGCTCAGTCGGTTAAGCATCTAGCTCATGGTTTCAGCTCAGGTCATAATCTCGGAATCATGGGATCGAACCCCACATTGGGTTCTGCGCTCAGCACAGAGTCTGCTTGAGATTCCCTCTCCCTCTTCCTCTGCCCCTGCCCCCACCTGTCTGCTCACCCTCTCTCATTCTTAAATAAATAAATAAATAAATAAATAAATAAATAAATAAATAAATAAATAAAATCTTTAAAAAAAGAAAAACACTAATTTAAAAAGATATATGCACCCCTATGTTTGTTGCAACATTATTTACAGTAGCCAAATTATGGAGCAAGCCCAAGTGTCCACTGATAGATGAATGGATGAAGAAGATGTGATATATATATATATATATATATACACACACACACAATGGAATATTATTCAGCAATAAAAAAGATGAAGTCTTGCCATTTGCAACAACATGGATGGATTTAGAGGGTATAATGCTAAGTGAAATAAGTCAGAGAAAGACAAATACCATATGATTTCACTTATATGTGGAATTTAAGAAACAAAACAAATAAAAAAGAGATAAACCAAAAGACAGACTCTTAGCTATGGAAAACAAACTGATAGTTATCAGAAGGAAGGTGGGTGGGGGGATGGATGGTAGGTGATGGGGATTAAGAGTACACTTATCATGATGAGCACTGAGTAATGTATAGAATTATCGAATCACTATATTGTACACCTGAAACTAATAATAACACTTAATTATACTGGAATTGAAATAAAATAAATATAAAAAAATTAAAAGAAAGAAATTGAATTAAGAAAATAGTCTAGGGGCACCTGCATGGCTCATTCAGTTAAGCATCTGCCTTCGGCTCAGGTCGTGATCTCAGGGTCCTGGGATCAAGCCCCACATCGGGCTCCCTGCTCATAGGGGAGTCTGCTTCTCCCCCTCCCCCCCACCCCCCTCCCTGCTCATGCTCTCTCTCTCTCTCACTTCTCTCTCAAATAAATAAAATCTTCAAAAAAAATTTTTTTAAATAGTCTTGTCTTTGCAACATGCTTAAAAATATTGGTATTATGGGCATAGGATCACCTTATACTATCTCTTCTATTTGATATTTAGGGTGAAAAGTTAAGTGTTCAATGAAATAGATGAAAACAAACCCTATCACTGTTATTCTATTTAGAGCTCATTCATCAAATTAAAATAAGTAGCAATGGTATTTTAGAAGAAATTAAGCTTTAGCTATTACTGTAAATGTAACTATTACATGACTAAGGAAAGCTCCCTTTATCTTTCTAAGAAAACTTTTCTCTCCTTGGCTTTACTACAAGGGGAAGATAGAATCAGAACACTACATCTTTCTCAATTAATTCCTGAAGATTAGTAACTCACAATCCTGGTTACATACAAGAATCACTCAAAAATTTTTTCAAAATACAGGTTTTCTGGATCTGATGAATCAGAACCTCTGGGGGTTAGAGAGGGAGTGCCTGAAAACTCCCCCAAGTGAGACTGATGCATATTAGTATTGATAAGCAGATACTAGATTCTAGAAGGAGAGTTTTCCTGGTCTCTAAATCTCTAACCTCTCTGAAGGGAAAGGCAGAGAAATGGGACATAATCTGGGAATTGGGGAAGGTGCAGAGATAAGTTTGCCTACATTTTTACATTAAATAACTGTTGACAGATGCTTGATGGGAGGCCAGAAAGTGTTGCCCCATGAGCCTCCATGGTTCTAATACAATCAAACATGTCCAGACTAGCACTTGTCCCTTTAAAAGTGGTGAGAAGGGGCATCTGGGTGGCTCAGTCGGTTAAGCTTCTGACTCTTGATCTCGGCTCAGGTCGTGATCTTGGTTCAGGTCATGATCTCAGGGCTGTGAGATCGAGCCCCAGGTCAGGCTCCACTCTCAGCACTGTTTGTGCTTGTCCCTCTCCCTCTGCTACCCCCCACCCAAATAAATAAATAAAATCTTAAAAAAAATAAAAGTGGTGAAAAGTCTGAAGGCCACTATCTACATGTCACTTCTGTGCTAGTTTGGTTTTAAGATGAGAGGCCTCAGTAAAGTCTAAAAGGTCTACCAGGACTTGTGCTCTTGCCTCTACCTACTTTTTCAGGCATATTTCATGCTCCTGTACCTTCTGCCTGTATCTCCAAACTAGCAAACTCTTCCATGTCTCTGAAACGTCACATATTCGCATTCTGTCCCTTCAGCTGAAAAATGTATCTTCCCTTCCAATACACTTCTCTTCTTGTCCCTTCCCTCTGCCTTCCTCTTTTCTCTCCTCTCTCTAATCAATCCCTAATTATTCTTTAAAGCTCATTTTAAAGGAGCTCTTCAAAGGAGACTTCTTCACAACTGAAATCAGGTGTCAGGTCCCTCTTTTAATTTCTCATCTCACTCTTTAATTTTTCTCTGCAGTACTTTCCAGAGTCTGGTGTTACACAGTTATTGATGACACTCTTTGTTTAATTTCTGCCCCCCCCCCCCCATTTAAATCCTGGTTTTGTGAGAGTTGGGCCTGGCTCTCTGTTGCCCAGACCTAGCAAGTGTCTTTCTCCTAGTACAGGTTCAAACACTATCTGTTGAATGAATGAAGTAAATGAGAGAGAGACTAGTTTAGGTCATGCCTTTTCCCCATCCATCCATGCCAGAAAACTATTTCATTCACCCATTCAAGAGAATTTTTGAATTCCTCCAATGTGCCAATGTTTGTGAGAATTAAAATGATAAATCAGACATAGACTCTTTCCTTGAGGCCCATAGAGTCAAGTGGGGAATAAAAGAGAGGGATTCACATACCTGTTCGAGGTGCCTATAAGGGAAACCATGAACTTTGTTAGTAGGATCAAATTTCAGTCCTCCACTGTTGTCAAAGGAAAGACACTGTCCGTGTGAGAAGAGTGGGGGGCCCTCACAGGAAGCTGAGTGACCTCCTGAGTCAGCTGGATTTGAATCCTTCATGTTATGTCGCAGCTGCTTGAATTGAAAGCGTCTAACCTGTCCGTGAAGCACCTCCTCATCTGTAAAATGGTCAGTTTTCTAGTGGACAGGGAACACCGTCTCCACGGAAAATGTTTTTAACAGACTACTGTAGGTTCCGTCACACTGAAGAAGATGTCCGCACGGCAAATAGATGTTTAGCATCACTAACCATTGGGGAAATGCACGTTAAATCCACAGTGAGATATCATGACACAGCTATCAGAACAGCTAAAATAAAAAATGACAACACTAGTTGCCAGTGTGGATGCTAGTGTGGATGTGGGGAAACTGAATCACTCCCACAGTACTGGTGAGAATGTGAAATGGCAGAGCCATTCTGGAAAGCAGTTAGACAGTGTCTTAAAAAACAAAACAGAGCAGCTACCCTAGGACCTGGCAATTGGACTCCTGGGCATTTAGCCCAGAGGAGAGAAGACCGACGCTGACACAAAAACCTGTACACAGATGTTTACAGCAGCTTTATTAGTGAACGCCCAAGCCTGCAGACAATCCAGAATTCCTTCAGCAGGTGGTGAAGCAAACTGTGATACAGCCATATCCTGGCATACTACTAAGAGACACAGAGAAATGAACTGTGAGCACCTGTGGCAATCCGGATGACTCTCCCGTTATGTTGAGTGGAAAAAAGCAAATCACAAAAATGTTACATACTATATGATCCCCTCTGTATACCATTCTTGAAATGTCAAAATTATACACATGGAGAACAGATTCGTGATTGCCAGGGATTAAAGAGGCGGGGGAGGTGGAAGGAAGTTTGTGTGGTTGTAAAAGGGTAATAGGAAGGATCCTTGTGGTGATGGAAGTGTCTGGAAGTCTCTATCTGTAGAAAATTGATATAATCTCTCTGTATTATTTCTTACAGATACATATGAATCTATAGTTATCTCAAAATAAAAAAGATTACTTTTAAAAAATCAAAACGTGCAGACCAAATCAGGGAAACAAGTATGTCAGTTTGGCAGTTACGACATGAGCCTTAGATCCGTGACATCATAATGGTAGTGATCTCAGGTTACTATGGAATCCTCAGGCTTCAAGCATTTTACAGTACTCTGCCTAGTGCTGTAGACTCACTTGATTTTCAGTCCTGAGAACTGAAGACAAAAGGATGTTCACATCATTCAGAAAGTATGCAGAACTTATAGGTGGTCATTCAAGGCTTCACTGCAGAAGGTAGTCTTTTGATATACTATTTTTGAGCCTCAAAACAGACTGACAATAACAGGAAGTGTTGTTCTCTTTTGTTTCTTCTAATACGTGTACACTAATGAGTAACTTCAGCACCAGCTTCGTGAAAGGCTACTCAGGTTCGTAAGATTCAGTGCTGCTGAGCTGAAGAGAGCAGGGTTTACATTCTCGGAGGAGACACTTTCTTGGCTCCACGAGAGAGAATTTTCCCAGGTCTATGAAAATATCTGTCCTATTTATGAAAGAACTTTTGCATTCTGTTCAATTTAGCTGTTTTACCTATGATGACCAGAAAGTCCTATCAGAGCTCAGTCAGAGCTCAGCCAAGTAATAGCTAAACTCTTGTGTTTAGAAACTTTTTGATGTTTCCAGTATTTTTGCCGATCTTTGAGAATTTTCCCCCAAGTTTGAATATTGATTTAGATAAGATTTAGATAGATTTAGATAAGTAAATTTCCAGAATCTTCAGTTGTCTTCATTTTTATCTTAACATGAAAGCAAATTGTAATTAATTCTTCACACACACACCATATCATTTTGTTTTATATTAGGCCACCAATTGTCCTGTTTGTTGTTGTTGTTTGTTTGCCTTCTTGTAATACACTCTACCTCTTGATCCTCCCCTTCCTAAAAGCTCATGATTAGCTTTGCTGCTTTCTCCACCCCACGTCTAAGTGTTGGCATGCCCAAGGGCTTTGTCCTTGAAACTGTTCTCCATCTGCATCAATTCACCAAGTGACCTCATCTCTCTCTCCTTTTTTAAAATATTTTGTTTATTTATTTGAGAAAGAGAGCATGTGAGAGAGAGAGAGAGAGAGCTCAAACAGGGTGGAGGGGTAGAGGCAGAGGGAGAAGCAGGCTCCCCGCTGAGCAGGGAGCCCGACGTGGGACTCGATCCCAGGACCCTGGGATCATGACCTGAGCTGAAGGCAGACGCTTAACCGACTGAGCCACCCAGACGTCCGACCTCATCTCTTTCAATAGCTTTCTATAACTCAGCGATCCCTGAATGTGAGCTCTGGAGCTCTGCTTTCGGGGTTGAGACTAAATTTTAGTGTTATGCGAACCTTGACATTTAGCATAAAACTCTATTGTATATTTGACTAGTAACTAGCTGCTCCGTGGTGTTTGGTGGGTTGCAGGAAGAGCTCTTCTGTTGAGGTGGATGCCTGCAGCAAAAGCACTACATCATCTGAGGGTGCCGCCCATACCCTGCTTATCCACGGCCTCGTCGAGCTCAAGAGAGGCTGGAGGAGGCAGAAGCGGCACCTCTTCTTATTCAGCGATTTCTTGCTGGTGTCTGATACCAAGTATGTATACTAAGCAACGTGCCCTTGTGATGATCACGAAGTTACATTTCCATTAACCCTTACCATAAGAAGACATGACATTTTTTTTCTTTTGTTTTTGCCCATGTTTGGATCCTTCATTCATTCAACAAGTACTTATGGAGGTCTTGTTTTGTGCCATACCCTCCCTTCCCCCCCGCCTGCAGAGAATACAATAGAGAATGTGACAAGCAGTGTGTCTCTTGCCTGGAACTTACAAATGACAAAAATAAGAGGGGTAATTATAGATTGTGATTAGTGCTTCTGATAGAAAGTAGACGGGGGGCCGTGTGGAGATGATGGGAACGTATGAGAGAGGGGTAGTCCAGGAGGGCCTCTCCTAGGTGGCAGCACTGAAACTCGATCTATGGGATGAGAAGCAGCCACAGTCCTAGACAAGGTGCCTGAACCTTCTAGGCTGAGGGACCGGCAGGCTACGTGGGTGCAACCTGACCCCTGGGGGGAGGGGCTCAGGAAGGCTGATTTGATGGGAGCCGAAAGCATGGGGCATGCGATCAGATGTGAAACTGCGCTCGGGGTCCAGTCACACACGGTCTTCACAGGCCATGGTGAAAAGTGGAAATATTTTGCCAAAGCATTTTTAACTAGGACTGACTGAATCTGATTTATAGCTCTCGCAAATTTTTCTGACTGTTGGTAGGTAATGGATGGATGGTTGAGCAAGGGTGGGAGCAGGGAGACTGGTTAGGGGAGGCAGTAGTCCTGATGCCTGCTCTCAAGGGCTCCAGGATAGGAGTGCAGTAAAAAGGAAGGAGGCAGCAGACAGATTGGGAATATATGCTGGAGACAGAACTAACTGCGTGCACTTTCCTCTCAACCCTGAACACAAAGGTAACTGATAGCCAGCCTGGAACCTGATGATTGCTCAATAAATGTCCAAAAGCAGGTGGATGGGAGGTCAGCTGTTTACTTGCTCTGTCTCTGTTTTCATTATTCACAAAACATCATGAAAGACAAAGACTATTCCAACAAACCAAATATCAAGAAGCTTTTTAGTCACCAGAAAAAAACTACGCCCCCTTTATTTTGCTGCCCTCACCAGCTCCCAGTTATGCCATGCCATTAGTAAGCCATGCAAGTACTAATTTGGCAAAATGCTGTACTCAATCTGAGTGACATTAATGATAATTTATCAGGGGCTTACTACATGACAGGTGTTATGCTAAGAACTTCATGTATGCAATCTTCTCCAACCTTACAACTACCCTGTGAGATGGGATTATTTTTATTTTAGAGAAGACCTCTGAAAATCAGAGGTCTGAAGGTTTTGCCCAGGTCACCATATTAGTGATGAGTAGAGTCTACATTTGAAATTAGGTCCGTTTCTTTCAAAGTACAGGCTTTTATTCTACGTGTGGTGCTGCTGTTTCTATTATTTCTATTTTTCTGAATTTCATACAACATTCCAGGAACACCTAGATTCTCTCTCATTATTGAAATCAACCTTTCCTTTATGTTGAGTAAACAACTCCAATCTGCTTGGTATCTGGTAAGAAATAGGTCAGAATGCTTAGTGAACTGAGAAATGAAGGTAGTGTAGCTGTCCAAAAAAAAAAAAAAAAAAAAATCAGAGGCAAAGACAGAAATAGTAAAATATATTTGAGATGAGTGATATTGCCTACAGATGTAGCCTTGGAGGTGGTGATGTCATGAGGAGGACAGAGAGAAAAAGACTGTCCAGGTCCTGGCATGAGGTCCGTATGACGCACTCTGCTCCTCCTGATAGAGGGCCACATCATTATTTTTAAAAAAGCAGACTAGTTACCATTCCCTTTATTTAACCAAGGTGAGTACAGGAGACTAAAATGTGTGGGATGCATGCTGGGGACCACACGAGGAGCATTACAGATTCCTCGTGTAATTTCCCCACAGCCCTCCAAGGCCAGTATTGTTACCATCCACCGACTGCAGAAATGAAAGTGGGGATGGAGGAAGTCTCAGGAATGGACCTGTCATCCACAGGGAAATGGTGGGAGAGACTCCAAGCCAGGCCTGCCTTCATCCCAAGGCCACACTCTTCCTGCCACACCATGCCACACCTACTCTTGCATGCTCAGCCCGAGACACGCTAACAAACAGCAAACTCCTTTCCTGCTCCTTGGGACCTTGCAGACCACTCACATTCGATTTATAAGGGGAACAGGTTGTCCTTCACTTTGTTTTCATCTTTGTAATTATTATAGCACTTAGGGAGAGGAGAAGACCTTTCTTTTCTTACTAGAGCCATTTATTGTCCTGGATACTGCTTACCTCTCAGCGGGTTTTACAGAACCTACGGTGTTCTGCTGAAAAGATTTTATATAAAGGCAGTGTTCTTTCCCCATGAGAGAACTGCATCCTTTTAAGAGCTGAATTTTTTATTTTGATTGGTTCACTATTACAAAAGAAGTGCAACATTTTTCCTCTTCACATATTGCTTTTGAGATAGGTCTTTGTGTCTACGCAAGGGTTTTTATGATGTGACAAAATCTACATCAATGTATTTAATAATGTTCTCTTTAAGAGACTCAGCTCCTGAAAGATTATCTTATATACTTTTTACATCCATTTGGAATATTAGAAAATGTAAGTGATCTCAGGCACTTGAATTTGGCTTCTAAAACCAAGGCCCTTGACAGAGAGAGAACACAGATTTTTGGAAGTCCAAGTTCGGGACACCATCAGGGTCAGGTTCCCGCGAGAGCTGTCTTTCTGCGTGCAGATGGCTGCCCTCTCGCCTATGCCCTGTGGGGTTTCCTCAGCGCCTGCATGTACACACACACACACAGAGCTCTCTCTCCCTCTTCTTACAAGGGCACCAATCCTACTGGATTAAGCCCTTACCCTGATGGCCCCATTTACACTTAGTTACCGCTTAAAAGCTCTCTCTTCAAACATGGTCATATTGGCAGAGAGGGCTTCACGGTAAGACTGTGGGGAGCAGTGGGGGAGGGGACACAATTCTGTCCCTAGCAGTCACGAGCAGCACTTCATGCTGTGGCCGCGTACAAGTTTTTGCCAGTTTTTAGAAAACGACCATGAGAACATTCCCATAGTAAACATTTGGGTATATTTATGATCACTGTGAATATTGGACAAGTTTACATTTTTTTTTTCTAGAAGGAAACAACTAAAAAGAAATAGCTCCTGCATTAACAACCTTGTTTCATCCCTGTCATCCTTGTTCTTGGAGGATTGTGTTATGCCCTGAATCAATCTGTTCAAATTAATCATCTGAATTTAGGGCCTACGTTTTCCAATTAGCCATAAGAAGGGGTTGGGGTGACCCAGGTTCTGTTTTACCTCAGCTCACCTGCAGGCTTCAGCTGGAAACTCTCATCTTTAGGTTGACGCTATAGAAATTAACACAAATTGGGTAAGTAGTTGACTAATTGCTACCTCTGTATTCTGTCAAAATTAGTGAATTTTAGTTTGTGTGTAATAATAAAAGGAATTTAAATGTTTGTTTCTTCACAAAGAAATTATATTTCTCTAGTCGTACAAGATGTTAATAATAGTGAAAATTGTTTGGGGATTCTTTTCATACGCCTTCAGAAATTTCTCAAGAATTGAGGTCAGATGGAACCTTCCTTATTACTTTTGATATTCATTAGAATACTAAATAAGTTATTTTTCAAAGAAAATTATTACTTTATTTTTAAGAACAGTATCTGCTTGATAAATATTAAGATATTAATACTAGTAGAGGCCCATGAAGAATTTACAAAAAGGAAGGGACTGAACTTAGTTCTTTAGACATCACATCCCTCATATGTAGTTATTAAAGAATATAAAATGAAACAAAAAATGAATTTAAATTAGGTCAAAAGATGAAGATGACTATTAACTCATTATCCGTGAAATTACAAAGAATTACTTACAGAATATAACAGGACCCCCACTCCCAACATCTGTAAAAGGATACCCCTATCTTAGAACAGGGGAAATCCCCCTAGAATCCTGTAAATTTCCACAGTGCACTGGGGCTTCCCTTCTGGTATAAAGGTTGAGGTAGCAGAAAGCAAGAGTGATATCCATCATGTTAATACAAATATAATAAAGGACTATTTTTAGAAATAAAAACCACAGTTCTTTCTCCTCCTCTTTCTTCTCCTCAAGTCAGTTTACATTAGATTAATACTTTCTAATTTCTACTGAGATAATCCAGTTGGGTCAGTGATTGAGAGTGAAGAAATGCAGTAAGACCCTAGAAGAATCCACTGAAGTATGAAGCTTTGTTGTAATAAACTTTAAATATTTCCAAGCTAGTAACCAGCTTTGTTAATATAATGTCTTGAGATTTATCCTCTCACTCCCCAGATAATCCAATGAGAAAGCCTGATGGCTCTGGGGACCGAAGTGAGGCTGAGTGAGGGTAGGAAACATGAGAAGGGTAGTTCATGGAACGATAGGTCAGCACCCACAGAGGCCAAGTGGTTACAAACATGGGCTCATGAGTTAGGCTGTCTGGGTTCAAACTCTCTTGCCTTTGGCAATTTAGTTGACCTTTCTGTGAGTTTCCTTATTTGTAAAATGGAGCTAATAAAGACCACCTAGTGTAGTTGTTTGAGGATTACATTTTTTATATTTGTATTTATAAAATATTTAGAACAGTGCTTGGCATATGATAAGTGCTCCAAATGTGATAGGACAGTCGAAACCATGCTCTGGGCTTTGGGATAACTCCTTGGTTTGGAGTAGATAATCTTGGTGCTTTCTTGAACTAAGGAGAGAATTACTGAAATGCCTTTTTCCAGGTCAATGTATTTGGAAGTTCCCACACAGTACCTTGGGTGTCTGTATACACACAGATACCTACATTAGAAAAAAAAAAAAAATCTTAAAAACCAACAGATATATGTCTATCTTTCCCATTAGCCATATATTTCTACCCTGACAATGCCTTTGGAGTTACTATCTAGAAAAATGATTTTATCTGATAATCAGACATCTGATATCTGATAATGATTTTATCCGATGACTTTATTCATTGTGTCATAAACTTTGAATCTAGATCATCCTTCAAGTGTGCGTCCAGCAAAATTATTTTTATTTCATAAAACCCATTGGAGAGTCTTAGCTTTAATTGTTCCATGAATCACTGGAGTCACAGGGATTTTTGCACATGAGGTGTCTTTGATCTCATTTTAGTTTAGTGTTTCCACATGTGTTTCTGAATAGTAAGGAGTTCCAGAGTGGTGTGTCCAAGTTCCCTAAGCATCCCTCAGAGGGCTTATAACTATTTAAATCCCAAGCCCACCTGAGAGTTAAAGTTGTGAATTAACCAAATCAATCAATATGGTGGTTTTCATGTTAGAGATCAAAGAAGATTAGGCAGAAATTGTCAAAAAGCAATTTCACCACTGACAAAGTTGATCACCTTCTGACTCCTCAGAGAAATGGGAAGTATCCATCACTCACATATAAGACCTCCTGACCGCTGATCTGGGATTGATTGATGGATGGATTGATGATTTTTAAATTGGGCTCAATCTGTAGGCTAACAGTTTTTCAGTTTTAGCCAGAATCTAAGGGAAAATGATATGGATAAAATTTTAAGAAGGGAAATTGAAAATAACCTATGCTTTAAAGGCTAGAAAGTATTTTTTTAAAATTAAGGTTGAAAATAACTTTTAAATCTTTCTGATCCCCCCCCCCCAAAAAAAAAATCTTTCTGATCCAAGTTTATTTTTTGTTCTTGGTTTGTCTCTCTCTCTCTTTTTTTTGAAGATTTATTTATGTATTTATTTATTTTAGAGAGCATGAGCGTGAGCGGGGGGAGGGGCAAAGGGAGAGGGGAAGCAGACTCCCCACTGAGAGGGGAGCCTTACATGGGGACTCGATCTCAAGACCCTGAGATCACCACCTGAGCCGAAACCAAGAGTTGGATGCTTAACCGACTGAGCCACTCAGGCGCGCCCCCTGGTTTGTGTCTCTTAAGCAAAAAATTGTATGACTATTTTTATAAATCGTGTATCAGGTAGCTTTGTTCAGCCCCTCAAATACTTTTTGAAGTAAGCAAGTCATAAATGAATAATTAACTATAATAATAACCATAAAACTATATATAATAAGAAACAAATTCTAACAATAATAAATGAATTAATGGTTTTCTTAAAAAGCTCTGGAATATATAGTCTTTACTCAACACTCAACATTCAGAAAAGTGGCCACTTGCTGCCATTTGAGGAAGTGTTTTCAGGGCCTTCCTAGGGCCAGACTTCGCTCAACACACACTTTGTAAAGGTCATGTCACCATTTGCTGTGCTGGGCACAGAGGGTAATAGAGACAAGGGAGGCATGCTGTGCCCTGGAGCAGTGAGAACTGGTCTCTGATGAGCACAGCTGTTCCCATAACATTTATGAAACAAACTAACAGAGGTCTTGTTTGGGTATCTTTCTAGGTATAAGAAAAAACTTAAGATAAAAAAGAAAATACCACTGAACACCATGTGGACTGCCAACTGTATGGACAGAGTGGAGGATGCCAACATCTGTGCTGGGAGGTCCTTTATCCTGGGCTGGCCCACGGTGACCTTTGTGGCCACCTTCGGGTAAGACCGACCGTTTGGTCTTGTATTTACATGGGATAAAAAGAAAAACATTTTAATCTGATTATATGTCAAGCCAGTGACTCCCTTTTTGACTTCCCATAATGACACTCATTTGCCTTGTACTTCCCCCCAAAAGGTATGTACAAATGGGAGCAAGTAGATAACATAGAGTGGGAACTATTGGAGTAATTTCTTTTGGTTTTGATCAGTGGTTTTTCCCATGGGCTCTAGGAGCCACTTGAGGAATTGGGTGTTTTAGGCATATGGAAGGAGAATCAAGAGAGTGAGGTTCTAGAACCCCTCTCCAATATCCTGCCCCCTAATTCCCAGGGGGTATGTGTGTTTCTAAATCACTGGCATATTTTTCTTGAGCAAGTACTATTAAAGAGTCCAATTAAATTTGAAAAATTGCTCTTATACTCCCAAGGTCATTCCTTTAAAAATAGTATGGAATTATACAAATAAATTAATCATGTCATTGAATATGAGGTTGCCTGAATTGCTGTGTACTGATTATCTTAGTTGGTGTCTCTAGAGAGGTGACCACCTAAAACAAAAGTATGATTGCATTGAGTAGAGGTTAGTTGTGCAAGACACATTCTTAGGCTGACACGAGGATGGGGAATGTGACTCTCTACCCCGGACATCCTGAGCAGACACTCCTGAGTTTACAGGGGTGGTGCAACACTTACATCTGCTGTTTGAAACAACCACACCCCAAGTCTCATTCTTGTGTTGCACAATGAGTGTTCATCACATGCACTTAACACCCTTCTTTCTTCTCCTCACCCCACTCCACCAAAATGTCCCACGTCATCACAAAGGGAAGACAACGAAAATGTTTACAAGTTGTTAATTTATTAAGCCCTATAATGCAGCGTTGACTTAAGGAGAAATTTTCAAAGCTTATTGGGAAGAAATATGTATTTATATGCTCTCCGCATGTCTTCTTTTCCACGACGCATTTCTGTAAAGATTCTCAGTTCCTCTTGCTTCCTGTCTTCTCCATGTTGCAAATGGAAGGAAACAGTTTCAATTGGGAATGTATAAAGTCTTTGACAGGGGAGTTTCCAAGAGACTTTTTTTCCCTAACAAGGAGGAAAATGTGGAAGCCAGGCTTATACATGTTATATTAGTTAAAAAGCTGTGTAAACATATAGAAGGCATTTATAACAATTCCTGGCACCTAGTGCTTTTGCTATTTGTGGTTATTACTGTTCTGCAGATCAGCATGGCTAACTAGAAGCTGTGTCCATGCGCATAGGCAGGCTGGGACGCTAAGTGGGCGTTCCATTTTCCAGATGGGACAAATCCTGAAACAGCGATGGAGGGGTTGGGGAGCAGTGTTGCTGGGAGGAGTATAAAATGTGGCAGCCACTGTGGACAGTTTGATGGTTCCTCAGTAAGTCAAACAGAATTACTATACGACCCAGCAATGCCACCCCCAGATAGATACCCAAGAGAAACGTAGGTCCACACAAAAATTGATACACAAACGTTCATAGCAGCATTGTCGACAATAGCCAAAAAGCAAACAAACAAACAAAAGTAGAAACAACCCACGTGTTTATCAACAAATACACAAAATATGGTACAGGAGCTAGAAACAGGAAGGAAGGAAGAGTGACTGCTTCGTGGACACAGGTTTGCTTTTGGGTGAAAAAATGTTCCAGAACTAAACAGTCACGGTAGTTGCACAAAACTGTGAATGTACTAAAGGTCACTAATGGTCAATTTTATTTTGTGTAGTTTACCACAGTAAAAAAACGCTAGTAAGTGGTAAGGCCATGTATGCATGAGGCTTAAAACATTCGCAACTTTGGTATTAAATGCTGTGAAAACTTTAGTTGAGAAAAGACTAACCTTTAGTAGTTTAGCACTAGCTGGATTGATCTTGCTCAGAGGATCACAGTAACGAAGAATGTTTTCTAGAAACTAATTTAACACATTCCAATCTGCTATGTGTATAAAGAAATAAAAATATTATAGGTGTTTCTTCCTAAAAAGATATTCTTGTTTCTGGGCCAAGATAGTTCCATCCAAATGCCAAATTCCTTAAGTATGATTTAATTTGAATAATAATGTTCTTTATATCTGAATAGCACTTGCAGCTGCAGGAACACTCGGGGTATAATTAACCCTTTTCCAGTTCTGGAAACTGAAGATCAGCGCAGTGAAGCAAAGTGCCCATGATCACATAGCTTGCATCACATAGTTACAATTAAGTGTTCAGATTCAAAACCAACTTTTCTCCCACTTTAGGATCTACTTCCCATTGCTTTAATACGCTCATAAAAGAGTGGGGTCCCTCCAAAGCGCAACTATGAGGACAGTATGATATTAACACATGCATCCACATCCTTAACAACTGGCTGCTGCTATTTTTTTCTGGAATGGTGATCTTATTTTGCTAGTATAAGTATTGTATGTATCTTAATTTTTTCTTCCCATTTTTTTTTTAAATTGCAGTTCTTCGGAACAAAAGGAAAAATGGCATTCTTTCCTTCAAAGGTATCTTGTCACTATACATATTATACATCTTTAACCCATGAGAAAAGAATAAATCTCTTCAAAGCAGTGCCCCCACACACTATGCTTCCCCTACTTAGTAGAAATTGTTAGACTATCCTCAAATAATTTCTTATTTAGATGTACCCTGGCTGCTACTGCAAATAATCTGCTCTTATTTACATGCACATATTGCTTATTTTTGATGAAATTCTGGTTATCACTCTCATCTTCCCCTTCTCTCAGACCTAATGATTGGAGCTAACATTATTCTCAAAAGATACATATTAAATTTTCTTAAGTGCAATTTACTCTCCTGAGTGATGGTCCAAGTACCTTCTCATTCCTACCCTTGAAGGTGCTGGGCCCTCCAGTCTAGGCAGGAAAGCTTTGATGACTGGATCTGCTACTCACATCTTACATGACGAGAGCAACCTGTTGTTTTCTGAGTCATGTCTTATTTTCCTGAAATAGTTTTGCATGTTTTCTTCCAACCCATAATTTGATGTTGCTGAGTTTATTTACATGCATTTAAAAATAACAGAGTATGTTGGAAAATTTTAGCCACATAGATCAATTTGAAAGTAAGCTAATAGCTAATTCATCCTACTCTATTTGGGGTTATTATTGAATTTGATTAGGTACATCAATCTGGCCAAAGAGAAGGACCAGCCCAAAAGCATTCCTCTCAGAATCTTCACTGAGGACATCAAGAACTGTGCCTGTGTAAGTGTTTTTAAGACCAAAAATTAAATTCCATGTTCCTGATTCAGATAGAATGAAAGAGATGGAGATGGAGATGGAGATAGAGAGTGGGAGGGAGGGAGGGAGAGATGGGGAGGTAGGAAGGAGAGAGCAAGAGATAAGAAGAGAGAGAGTATTTGGAAAAGTACCATGTGGGAAAATGTATTTTCCTGTCTACACGTGTCTTTGTATACATAAAGAGTGAATCCTAGGTAATATGAAGCGAGAGGAATCCATGCCACAGTACTTAAGCATGGAAAGAATATTGCATGTTAAATATCCATAATATTTCCCTGGCTCTTTCTAATAGCAACAACACTGGCTTGTAATAAGGTGATTTTCACATGCAGGTATTTCCTACTAGAAGTAAACATTTTTTCCCAATGGTTACTACTTATGTACAGAATGGTTTGGATTGTTTCCACAGTTCTCCACCCTCCCCCCATTGACGCTTTATTTGGTATAACTGTAAACTCACAGAAAAGTTGTAGGTATAAAAATAAAACAAAAAACACCCCATGCACCCTTTACCTAGATTCAGCTATTAGTAACATTTTACTCCACTTGCTTTATCATTTATTTTCTTTCTCTGTCCCTATTATGTGTATGTTATACTTATTTTTGAGGGTCATACAAATGCCATGGCCCTTTATCCTTAAACCTAGGTATTTCCCAAGAATAAAGATATCCTCTTATATCACCATCACACAGTTATCACCTTTAGTAAATTTAACATCGGTATAATACTTTACTCTGCCTTCCATGTTCCCATTTTGTCAGTTGACCTCAATAATGTCTCCTTTCCAGTACAGGATCTACTCAAGGGTCAGGTATTTCACTTAGTAGTTATATCAACTGCAGAGGGGTTTTGAAAGGTCTTTTGATCCAAGGAATATCAGGGTTGAATTGAGCTCAGAGGGATGACACTTTTAAGGGATCAGCATATTTCTATCTCATTTTCTTTTGGCTGTTGGGGGAAAAAAAATCAAACCAGTTGCCCATTCTTGGTATAAAATTTGATTTCTGAAATTGTAGTGCAGTAGCCAAGACATTTGCAATGATGAACAAGATACTTTGGGTATCTTTAAGTGACATTTTTTTTTTTCCTGTTATACTTTACAGTAGCTCTAGGTCACACAAAATAGTATTTGAAGGTGGAAAAAGGGGTAGTTATTCCTGGCCAAAGCAAAAGCCATGCAAATATTTTGATTGGTTTCTAAGCACCAGGTAGATGCATTGCATGAAGGAGATAAGGCCAGAGGGTTCTCTAGCAGCAGAGCACACTCTTGTCTCTGCCTGCTTTGATTTCAGCTGTGGCAGTGGGTTACACTCAGAATTTTCCATGGAAAATTACCTTGAAATCTTTAAAAATCAACTTTATTTATGTATAATTTACACAAAATAAGCATTTCTAATGTTCTTCACTTGTTCCTGAACATCCAAGTTTCCCTCTAACACTGTTTTCATTTCATCCTAGAGAGATGATCCTTAGCATTTCTTGTGCAGACCTGGTGCAAACAGATTTTCTTAATTTCTCTTATCTGAATATGGCTTTATTTCACACTCACTCTTGAAGGATATTTTGAGGGATGTAGAATTTTGTTCGCAAACTTTTTCCTTTCAGCTCTTTAAAGATGTTCCACTGTCTTTTTGTCTTTGTGCTTTCTGATGAGTAGTCTGTGATCAATCAAACATTAATCCCCTGTAGGTGATTTGTCATTTTTCTCTAGCTGCTTTCAAGAGTTTCTCTTTATTTTTGGTTTTTAGCAGTGTGGCTATGAAGTATCAAAGCATGGTTTTCTTTGAATCTGTCCTATTTGGCATATTCTGAACTTCTTGAATTTATAAATTTAATTTCACCAAATTTGGGGAATTTTAATCATGATTACCTCAAATATTTTCTTCCCCATTTTCTCTCTCCTCTCCTCCTGAGAGTCCAGTTATATGTATATTAGACCCTTTCATATTGTTCATAGATCCCTCAGACTCTTAATTTTTTCAATCTTTTTTTCCCCTTTTCTTCTTCAGACAGGATAATTTCTATTATCTATTTTCAAATCACTGACTTCTTTTTGTCATCTCCATTATGCAATGTAGCCTAGTCAGTAAATTTTTTCTTTAAGATATTTTTCAGATAAAAAATTTCTGTTTTTAAATATTTTTAGTTTCTATGCTAAGATGCCTCTTTCGTTTATTGTGAGCATATTTTCATTTGTATCATTGAGCATTATTGTAATAGCTGTTTTTGGCTAACAGTCTGAACATCTAGATCATCTCAGGGTTGGCTTCAGCTCTTGAGAATTGATCACATATTCCTTGTTCTTCATATATTAAGTAACACTTTGACTCATATAAAAAAAAGTAACATTTCTTTTTCTTTTAAATTATTTCAAAAAGCAGCTTATTTTTCTGAAGTCATTTGTTTACAGAGAGCTCTATCTACTGGAATTTATCTGTTTTGGAGAACCTACAACATGCAGGAAAATATACATACATCTCTGGAATTACTATTTTGAACATAGTATGTTCCTTATACCATGAAAACCATTATCTTGCAGACCAGATAAATTAAAAAGTGATTATTAGTATTTCAAAAGAGATTTTTTTTCTTTAAAAAGATTTCATGGGAGGGATGCCTGGGTGGCTCAGTCAGTTATGCAGGGTTCGACTCAGGTTATGATCCCAGGGTCCTGGGATGGAGTCTTGCATCAGGCTCCCTGCTCAGAGGGGAGCCTGCTTCTCCCTCTGCCTTCTCTGCCTGTGGCTCCCCCTGCTTGTGCTCTCTCTCTGACAAATAAATAAACAAAAATCTTAAAAAAAAAAAAATTGTGGGAAAGTTTTTAAGTTGTACTGAAAGGCTTTCAGACATCTTAAAAAAAATAGCAGAGCCATTACTTCTAACTAAATTTCAAGCTAAGACCCAGTCTTGAATCCTCTAGACAATTTAACATAGGAAGCCCCTCCTAGACAATTTAACATAGGATATCCTTGAGTTTGGGTGCTCTGAGTCCTACTGCTAGGTTCTGAACACTTTTTTTTTATAATCCTTAAAGCTCAAGTAGTTTGAAATCAATGAACACTTTTGTTTATAAAAGTTCGATTATCAAGCAACTTTTGGGCCATCTGTCATATCAAGCAATTGCATTTCAATTCATAAGAAGAAAAATACAATGAAAGAACAAGTTTCTTTTAACTTTGTTTTTAATATTTTTAAGGACTGTGAGTGTCCACTTCTGTTGCTTGTCTTCTTCATGCACTGTTTCTCAAAGAACACAGGCCTCATTGCCTAATAATGTTATAAAAAGTGTATGCGTGGTTGGTTACATATTGTCCTATTTTAAAATGTCTTTTGGAATTCGGGTAGTTTTATCGGTATCATCTCAGATTCCTATCCATCCCTTTCAGATAATTTTCAATAACTGTTTTCCTTGTTGTATGGAGCAGTTTCTCAATATAAGGTGTGATAGAGAGATATTATAAGTAACTACTCACTGTCAGAGTTGCGAATGGAATATAAACTTCTAACATTTTCAGTCTCATTTCCTAGACTCATTGGTTTTATTTGTCTCAACAGATTTCAACAATGGAAATCTTAGTAACCATGATGACACAAAGAAAGTATTGACTAAATAGTAGTTTTTTTTTAAAAAAAAATGTCTGTCACAGACGGTTCTTATTCTGATTTTGCTGAAACTGAGTATATAATTGCGAAGAGAGAAAAGTATCTAGCTCCTCCTTTTTAAACTATCTCCCCTCTCTATTTTGGGAATAGCCTTATGGAGCTGAGGGTCAGTTCATGTCCCCTCGTGGAATTCTGTTCTTCTCTTTCTTGCTTAAGCTGCTATATTTTGTAAGCCACAAATCCTTGAAGGGAAATATATGTTTCACTGAAATGTTTCCTACTAGCTTCATGTTATGTAAAGAAATGAAAATATAATCAAGGGTGTGTGCTCTACATATGCTTTACTTTGTCATTAACTGAAAACAAGCTTTGCCTTTAGAGTATGGATAATAATTTGACAATAATTATTTGGTCACCTGCTTTAAATTTTTAAAAATTTATAGCAATTTTTCTCATTTCTTTTTTACAGTCTGTAACTGTAACAGTAACAAATTCAGACACAGTGAATGACATTATCAACATGTCACTACCAATGCTAGGAATAACTGTAAGTTCCCTTGCAAACTATTTTTAATTTAAAAACCATCTTTGACTTTTGAGATTTGTGTGTGTGTGTGTGTGTGTGTGTTGTGTACCTCCCGTTATAAGACAGCTGATTATTATACATATCATAGTCATATTTTGTCCCCCAGATTTAGAAATTGAAGGCAGCAAAGCTATATTATTAGCCTATACATGGGTGCTCTTCTTGTCTTCCCATTTTAAATTTTCTGCGAATTCAAAATCATAGCATAAAATTGGGCTATAATTTTAGAGTGCTAATAACAACATGCAGTTTATTGTATATATTTTATACACAGACAATAAAATATTTCTAAGTTTCTAAATATTTCCTCCTCTATTGGACTCTTCTGTCTGTGTCTTCATTCCTGATTCCTCCCCATCCCTGTTTACCCTGGTCATCACCCAAGGACTCAATCCCAGTTAGATGAATCCTAAATTATATGTTTTGTTGTACATTTTGACATAAAGACCACATGGCTAGAAGCTACCTCCTCTTGATGCAGTTCCTTGGGATGAGGCGGCTCACACCCCTTATGAACTGGTAAAGAGGACAAGTTCTGAATAAGACCATGATCTGGGGGCAGTTGCGTACATATCACTTTCATCTTGTTTTGGTTTTAACGGCCTGTTCCTTTATGTTTTGATGGTGCTGGTGTGAGTTGCTGGACTTTTTTTTTTTTTTTTTTTTTTTTTGATGAAAGACATGGACATATTTGAGGATGAGGTTTTCTAAGGGAAAAGAGAAGGAGAGTGATAGTCAGATGGACAGAACTGAAGGGAGCACTTGTAAAGCACAGCTTCTTATATAAAATCCTCTATAAATGCAAAAATGTCTTGCTATTATGACATGACATAATTACAAGATTCTTACTTAAATTCTGTCTGACCCAATGGTATAATAAAGCCCCTTAAAAATTCAGGGCAACTGGAATTTAGCATAAGAAATCAATGATTTCTGTACAAACAAAATTTAATAATATATCTGAAATAAAATTGAATTTATATGTACTGAGTAAAGCACATATCTACATTGATTTCTAACCTGTATGATATATATACCCTAAATAGGAATTAAGTCTTAGAAAGAGAGTGAGTGGTTTTAGGGATGAAGTTGAGGAGATTGATTAATGATGAAGCTCATTTTATTTCATGTTTGTGATTTTCCTTTGTATAAAGTGACCAATCTCACCACACAAAGAATTTCTGTTTTAATGAAGAATTGGGGTTATTTGGCTTTATGTATGCCTGATTTAAGGGATTCCAGCATAGCATTTCCAAACCCTACCCTACCTTACTAGCTCTCACGAGTTATTTGCAATACAATTTTGAACAGATTTAGCTATGTGTGTGTGTCTGTGTGTCTGCGTGTGTCTGTGTGTGTGTCTGTGTCCATACCTATGACCTTTCTTCATAAGGGCAAGACCATGATTTTTAATCAGGAGTCCAGGTCAAGCATGGTACCTATCACCAACAACTCCATGTCAAACATTTTTTGCTTTAGTCTCCTGGAAGACTCTCTAAAATAGTTCAGCGGTCTTTATAATTTAGATGTGTTTGTTTCAAGTAGGACTTCCAGGTTTACTGGGCGGTAATTCTGCTGGGAGTAATTGTTTTCTGCATCTGATATGTTGTCTAGGTTAGAGTCCTTGTTCTTTCTCTCCCTGAAGTGGGGCTTGCCTGCACCAAAGCCAGTGGCTGACTTCAGTCCACTATCTCCTCAAGGCCTCTTGGGCGTTTGTCTCCTTTTGCCCAGGGCTGCTGAACTATTGATGCCTTTCAAGTTACTTTGCTCAGGAATAGTCATAGCAGGGTATATGGCTCTCTGGACAATATGCATGTCAGGGCAGGGACATTTGGCGGCAAAAGCCAGCATTATCCAAGGAATCTAGAGACAGCGGAAGGCAGGACTCTGAGATTAGAAGTTTCCTCCTTAGCGAAGGGGCACAACTGTGATTTCTTAGGCCATGGGCCACCCACACCGTGAGGGGCTGATTGTACTGTGGTTTCCTGGCCTTTATCAAAAATGACAAGAACCTGGGACGGTCCACTGGAGGCTATGAGGGAACAAGTTAACAAGTACTGTAGCTACCTCCATGGACCAAATGGCATTTATACTGGCCCCAATTCTTTCTTTCTGGAAACAGAGAAATGCAAAGGAAATGTGTTCTTCAAGTACTGTGAAAGATTTGTTATGATGCATAGTTCTTTTTGTTTCCAAGGGCTCTGAGAAAGACTACCAGCTGTGGGTGAGTGCTGGCAAGGAAGCGTCCCCACACCCACTCACTGGTAAGTGTCAGGGAAAATCTAAGATGGGATTGATTAGGTTCAAAATTGTAACTCTACATCTCAAAGTAATGGTTGTTCTGTCTTCAGCTTAAATACCCTTAAAAGTGAAAATCACATGCAATATTCACTCTCACGTTTATTAAAGAATTACCAGGTGCTTACTTGTTCCCAGGCACTGAGGACATCTCTTCATTCATCAGCTTAAGGTCTAGTTAGGGAGAGAAATGTAAATTTTTCGTTTCTACTTCATTTTACCTGACAAACAGAGCTGTCTTAAAAATTTTTTTGTTTATTGTTTACTTACTTATTTACTCACTTAGGTATGAAAGCATAGAATTGGAATTTCTTTTTCCCATACATTTATTTTTCATATTCCAGTCTTGAATTCCAGTTCCTAACAACTAAATAGCCTCTATTTTGTGAGAATCCGCTAAAATCCAATCATGTCTCTGAATCCAGGTATAGGTATGTATTTAACACCTGCTCTGTGCCCAGAAGTTTTCTCAGCATCATAAAGAGAATGAGATAATCACATTTAAACTCCTCAAGTCTTCACTGACTAAACTACCTGCACTTTGTTGTTTCTCAGGCTTTTTCCATCACTGTTCTTAAGGTTATTGATAAACAGATTACACCTCTCCTAAAATAGTTATTAGCACAAGTTCTCTAAAAAAAAATCTTTGGATTAGCAAAATTGTTCAGTGCTTACCAAAAATAGAAGGATTAAAAAACAAGAGAAAAAAGAGAGGATCTGTAGCAGACCTTGAAGTATAGTAATGTATGGTAATGGTGACAATGATTTCTGCTAGAAATCTTAGAGCATTCCTTCTTACATGCATTTTTCAAAATCTTTTTAGTAATCCTGTGAGGCGGGATGCCTGGGTGGCTCAGTTAAGTGTCTGCCTTTGGCTCAGGTCATGATCCCAGGGTCCTGGGCTCCTTGCTCAGTGGGGAGCTGCTTCTCCCTTGGCCTGCCGCTCCCCCTGCTTGTGCTCTCTCTCTCTCTCTGACAAATAAATAAATAAAATCTTAAAAAGAAAATAATCCCGTGAGGCTATTACTCTTTTTCAAGTTATCTAAAGAATATTTTCAAGTGATCTGGAAATCTAAATAACCAATTTCTTTCTACGAAATGTATATTCCCAGTCTTAGAATACAGAGAGTCACCAAGGGCATAGCTGAGGAAAAAAATCCCCCCCACCATTTCATGTTTCATATTAATATTGACATCTCTGTAAAAGTCGGCCAACCACAAAAAGGAAAAAAGTCAAATACTTAAATATATTTATTTTAATAAAGTGCATTAATTTAGGTAAAACAATATAGATGATAACTTTTTAGACTTTGAGCAGCTTCACACACCAAGGCAGCTCTAAGGAATCCGGAGAGCCTGTCATTCATGATGATCCATTGGCAGCATTCAAAATGCATTTTTTACCAATGCTCTCAATTCTCAATTGCGGATTATCTCCTGGTTATCTTTGTGATTTGGTTGTATTGCTGTCGTAGAAGCTTCTTTTTCCTTAAAAGAGGGAAGTCACTGTGATTCTTGTGAACACATCACTGACACTGCATCTATGACAGATGAGAAGGAACAGCAAAAGCTCCCCAAGTTACATTCAATAATAAATCAGAAATGACAGAAAGAGAACTTCCATTCTGTTCTTAAAAAATGAGATCCATATCCTATAGCACAGGGTCTTTGAGAATTCTATAGAGAGGAAACAATTTAAAGCATACAAGAACAAAACAAATCACTTGGCAGGCAACTCTCACTGACTCTGGGTGCAGTTTTCCACTCTGTAAACATCGTTTTGCACTTTGCTTCTGGGTTCCCAACACTGTTCAGCCTTCCCTCTGATCATCACCTGGCAGGACTCCCCTTGGAGGAAGGGCAGCAGTGGGAGGGAAGTATAAAGCATAAAGGCAACCCATCCCACTGCCCTTGAGTAGCTCTGCCTCTAGAAATTGACAAAAGGAAATGAAAAAAAAATCTGCTCAACTGACATTATGTGAGAGAGAATAGCAATTCTTAATATATATGTTCAATTATTTAAAAAATATTACCCACCAATGCATATTAATATATTTACTCTGATCCTTATAAGTTTGTGTGAGGGCAAGCATTTCAAAGGATGCATGTAAGGCTCAGAGGGGTCAAGTAATTTGCCTAAGATGTGCAGATCTCGTTAGTGTCAAGGCAGAAACTAGAAGGCCTTAAATATTCTCAGATGGAAACACAGCAAAAGTCAGCATTGTGCAATGCACTGATGAATCTTTGTATTCCAAGTAAAGTAACATGCTTTACATTTTTTTTCTCTTTTTAAAATCTTTTCCTTGGGCACCTGCTTTCTGCAGGGTGTCTCCAACAAGAGCGAATATGATGCTCACTCAGGAGGCACAGAGTGAGTGCCAGAAGCCCCAGGAGAATAGCAGCATATACCAGTGTGATGCATACACTCATGGGAAGGGGGATTTGATCAGAGCCATCACCATCAGCCTGAATCTATATTTTTTCCATATAGGACATAAACATCCCTATGGAATTAAAATGAGCCATCTTCCATCTACCACACTGCTGCCGCAGACACCAGAGGACTCCATCTCTCCTTCCACCCTCCAGGAGTCCCTCCTTCTGGAGCAGGGGTTCGCAGAGATGCAAGGCCGGTTCATCCTGAAGCCCAGGCACCCGGCGCAGAATGAGCAAGGGAGAGGTGAGCCCCTTCCCTTTCTTCAGGTGTCTCCTCTTGGCTCATGTCTCCACTCTTGCCCACAAATTGAGGACACAGAGCTCACTCTCTCTGTGGGGGGTGGGGAGGAACAGTAGAGGCAAGAACCCCAAAACTGCACAGAATCGAGCTTAGAGAAACCCAAAGGTCTTAGGACCCAACTCACTTCGAGGAAGGTTGTGTGCTTGTTTTAATTCTCCTAGGTAGACTGTTAGCTCCTTTCTCTGTATCCCCAGAACACTTTCTACATATAATTATGTGAGTACACATCTGTGTGTCTTCTTAGAGCACAAGCTGTTTGTGGCCTGGAAACAGGTCTTCCCTATTCCAGGGTTTTATCTAGTATCTCAGGCCATCACAGGATGGAATCAAATGACTGCATGGCTTAGACGCACCTGGAATGGAAGAACTCCAGTGGAGTAAAGAGTTATGGAACTGAATTGGATTTATTCTGGGCTTAGGCTGAAGTGGCCTTGGGCTTACAGTTAGAATTCAAGTCTCAATTCTGCCCCCACTTTCCATGTCTGCTTCAGACACAGGTCAAGGCTGGAGCTAGACTGAATGTTTATGGTCAGGGCTTTTTCATCTTCCTTCTTGCTATTTTTTTCCCTACCATTCCAGTATTCTCCCATTGATATTTTTTTCTCTGATGAAAATGTGTTATTCATCTGAGAAGTATTGGGCCAAAATAGAAAGTATTTTATTGTTATGATTGTGATTCTATAAGCACAAAGTTTCAAAAATTTTATTTTTTAATATTCATACCCTAATTCAAGCATTAGGAAACATTAACCCAAATCTTGCCAGGACTGTTTAAGAAAGAATAGGTTTCCATAAAGTTAGCTTGTTTAATCATTCCTATATTTTTCATGGCTATAGCATATATTTTTATTAGTAATAGAGGCAACATGACCTCTAACAGCAAATAATGTACATTATGAAACATCCAGCTAAGCCTGAAAATACCTTGGAGAAAGTATAGGACTCAATGTGTACTTATTTTCTGTATACTCATAGAGTAGCTAGATATATAGCTTTGTACCAAGGGATACAACATTCTTCTTAAGAGCATTCTTCTTATTAAAGCTGAAGAATGGAATATATTTGGGTAGTTTTAGAAATAATAAAACTAGGGGAAGAGTAGGGAACCCAGGTTGCATACAACAACTCAACTTACATATTAACATGTATCTTCAGCAAATGCATACATTTTGATGTACAGGAATCTCCTCCTGGATTTAAGAATGTGTTTGCTTTCTTTCTTCTCTCCTTTTAAAATGGTAGCGGTATCAATTTCAGAGCAGGAAGAAAGAGCCTTAGTTAAGTAAAGTGGTAGCCATCCTTCATGATTGCCTACCTTCTAGAGGTTGCAAAATCAAATAGAGAATGGGAGTGATGTCTGCTTTGGAGGGGGAAGAGACTGATGTCTAGACTGCCTGAGGCCTTCTGAGCAAGGAAATTACTTTTATCAAGGCTGCCACGAGCCATGCCTTGTGCTGAGTAGTACATTACATTTAGTTCAACGAGTTGTAGGCAGCAGCATTTATGTTAAAGTTAAGCAAACCAAAGCTTAAGAATTTTTGAGTAATCTAACTAGGTGGCAGAACCAGGATGCTTCTGGTTCTTAGATCCTGGTCTCTCTGGTCAAGTGCCATGAGTGTTGCCACCCACGTGAGTGGATACGGTGATGCACTCACTACATCCCAGAAAAGCCCAGTGGACAGGTGTTTATGGGTGTTTGGTGAAATGTTGCTCATTTGTTTATCCTTCTACAGCTTGGCTCCTCTGTGGACTTTTAAAGAATTCAGTTATTTAAGCAGATTTTGTAAGCAAATGTTAAGGTATCTTATAAGGAAAACATTCATAGCTGAGCAGTAGAAACTTTCAACTCAGCTTTTCACTGCAGATCACCTTTTCTTTGTAAAGCTCTTCTTCTACATTCCTTTGATAGGGAATGTTGGGTAATTCAAAATCATCTCTGGAAATTGGGGATAATTCAGGCATTCATAATCTCTCATTGTTTTTCTTTTTGTATGTTTTCTTTCAAGCCTTGTACTGGTATGGTGTATATACATGTATGTTTGAGTATGTGTGAGGAATTGGGTGCAATTCATTGTGGATTAGACTCTTTTCCGTAAATATCAAACATAATTTACAAAAAAAAAAGTCATCTCTGGGTAGCTTGGTGGGGTATCACAAGAAAACACAGTCACCTGGAATCTTACCACATAGCCAGCATGTAATGACTATTTCCCAAGAACCCTGACTGCAGGAAGTCATCCTTGGGGATGGCCCAGAGCAGAGACACCAGAGGCTGCCTGAGAAGTGGGGTCAGGCGGATCATGTCATGAAAGGCAGATCCTTTTGATCATAGAAAGATGAGCACTCAGGGGCACCTGGGTGGCTCAGTCGTTAAGCGTCTGCCTTCAGCTCAGGTCATGATCCCAGGGTCCTGGGATCTAGCCCTGCATCGGGCTCCCTGCTCAGTGGGAGTCTGCTTCTCCCTCTCCCAATCCCCCCCTGCTTGTGTTCCCTCTCTCGTTGTCTCTCTCTGCCAAATAAATAAATAAAACCTTAAAAAAAAAAAAAAAGTTGAGCACTCAGAAAGCCAAAGAGGAAACTTAAGACTGGAAGGAGACTCACTGTGAAAGCAGATGATTAACAAACTCAGCTTGATTTGAATACCAGATCTTTTGAGCTTTTAAAATCAGATCTGACACTGGATGAATCCACTAATCATACTTACCAATAGGAAACAAACAACAAGTTAAGTGCCTCATGATAAAGCACAACAGGCAGTAGATGGGATTGAAAGCATTGACACTAAGTCTGATCAAGTCTCTAGGTTTAACCATCAGTTTGCAGGATCTGGGGAACAACTGTTAACACCATAAGAATGCTATTGGCCAATTTCAAAACATGGAAAATTCTACACAAAAAATGCCTCAGTTTCCCTCTTCTAGCCATTGCAGTGAATGTACCGTAGAATGGGAATGGTGAAAATAAGGTTAAGCGGGGTGCCTGGGTGGCTCAGTTGTTAAGCGTCTCCCTTGGGCTCAGGTCATGATCCCTGTGTCCTGGAATAGAGCCCTGCATTAGGCTCCATGCTGGGTGGGAAGCCTACTTTTCCCTCTCCCGCTCCCCCTGCTTGTGTTCCATCTCTCACTGGCTCTCTATCAAAAAATAAATAAAATCTTTAGAAAAAAAAAGAAAAGGTTAAGCGAATAAAACAACAACAACTACTACTAATCTCACTTCTTCCTTAGATTACAGGCAGAAGACAGTTAAAAGCGGTTTTTTCAGAGACTGGGCCTGTTGTCTGGGCTCCAGCACTAGCCAGGACAGCCAGTGCACAACCCCACCTTCTTCAAAGCCAGGACAGCTCTTTGGAGTTTCCCTCATGGATGTGTGTAGTAAAGACAACTTGCCCTTCCCAATCCTGGTAGGTCATCTCCTTTTGGTCTTCTATAGCCCTTCTGAGGTGGGGAAACTCTGAGAGGCCACGTGTCCTCATCCAAATCTATTCCCAAATGGAGAAGTCATTAGACAGCCCCTGGCTTTGGCTGAGAAGCTCTGTTACTGTTATTTCAAAGAATAGAATCTGATTTAGGTCTTGCAGAGTCATGAGGCAAATACAACAGGAAAAGACATTCTTCTCCATTCCACTTGGGTCTTGTTTCCACAAAGACATGCGGAGGCTTGTTCAGATCAGTCAAAATGGACTCTGTGTATGTGAGTCTCTGAGAGTCCACCTCATCTTCACACTCTCCCCTCATTGCCTTCCTGAACTCACATGAGTCTCAAGTCTCCTTCAGCGGAGTCTACTCAGTCTAACAACTGTAAACATCTGACACGAGCATAGACTCATCCTCTGGCAAATAGGAAAGTATTAATCCTAACAGAATATGTCAAATGAAAGCCACAGAGTTTGGCCTGTGTTATCTCAAACTGCTCTAGTGAATTGTCAGTGTGGACATTCACTGAGTATTCGGTGTCTCTGCAAGCACTGTACGGGATGTAGGGAACGTTCTGCTAGCTATGAAGAAATGAATCATCTTAGCTAGCATGTTACCTGCTAGCTACTACCCCAGGTCCTTGCATCACAGCAAATTTAGAGGGTAGCTAGGATTATCATCCTCCACACTTCTTAAACGAATCGGAAAAGCATCAGTACAGGATGTATGTGCCCCAGCTCACACAATAGATAAGTAGCATAATAGACTTCAGATCCATTTTATTCCCTGAGTCCAGCCCTTATTAAGATTCTACACAGCAGGGAGAGGACATGAAGATACAGCAAAAGACAATGAAAGACTCATGAGAAGGGAGGGTAATCAGAGAAAGAGAAGAGAGTTTCTGAGCCTGACTTTAAAAGAGGGAAAGAAATAGAACAAGTAGGAATGGAGTATACGGTCACTTAAAGAGAAATAAACAAATGGGAAATGTGTATTTCCTGAATAGACTTCCATACTTGGGGGAGAGCATCTATGTAATGGAATAATGAGAAAAGAATGGTAAAGTAGGAAACAGACGGTGATTGTGCAAAGGCCTTGAAGCAGAGAAGTTTGATTTAAGAGTGGAAACTCAATGGAAAGGAAAATCTGATTAAAAGAAGTGTTTAAAATGTTTCAGTGTATGACTGTAAAATGGATATTTCGGTAGAAAGTATATAGAGAGACACTGAAAAAAAACAATCTAAATTGACTTTAGTCCTTTCAGCTCAAAAACAGTGTACCATTGCATTCCCCTCCTCTTTCAAAACGGAGGCAAGCTTGAGCTCTGCGTTTGGGATATGAGATGCGATATAATTTTCTTTTCTTCCTACAGGATATGCTTTCCTTTATTAATCAAAAAGGGTCACTCACAGAATGCATCTTCAGCAAATCACCCAATATAAAATCAACCAGGGTCCTAAAGGAGAAACTAAATTCTGGGGTCAAAGTGGACCTGTACAGCGAATCTGTTCATGTGGTCGCATCCGTCTTAAAGGTAGGGAAGGTTCTAGCATTATCCACACACGAGTAACTGAAGCTATGATTGGTGTCTTTCATCATGACTGCTCAAGTACCATAATGGGCATAATAGATTAAGAACCTGACAAGCTGGAAAACGCTTGACAAAATCAAAATTTAAGGAAGCTACTTTAGGAGTTAAAAGCCCCATATGTTAGAAATACTTTCTGTTTTCACCACACACCGCCTACCCTGCCTTCACTCCTGAAGTCGCCATGCAAAATACTAATACTGAAATGACTACTAGTCATGATAATAAATTTCAAAATACGCACTGACACATACACACTGTTTACCCATGCAAACATTCTCACCACCCTCCTAGTGAAGGCAAACTTTCCAAAAGAAATAGAACAGGGAAAGAATTTAATCCATCCACCTTGGCACTTATGAACAGCTCTGAACAACCCTATGTTAACGTAGTAATGACTACAGTCTTAGAATCTCAGTCACATTTGGTCTTCCCTTGTCCCCCATTAATGTTCGAAGATGTGATCAATAGCAAAGTCCAGAAATGACTTAGGTAACCACTCCTACACTAGGGCTATAGTGATATCTAGTAGTAATATACATATAGGCATCAGGAGACAGGAGAAGAATGCTGATACATTAGGTAGCAAGATGAGTGTTGCCCTCTGTAAGGTGAGCACATGGAATCGATTTTCTAGGAAGAGTTAGGAGGTTCCGGGCGCCTGGGTGGCTCAGTTGGTTAAGCGACTGCCTTCGGCTCAGGTCATGATCCCGGAGTCCTGGGATCGAGTCCCATATCGGGCTCCCGGCTCAGCAGGGAGCCTGCTTCTCCCTCTGACCCTATCCCCTCTCATGCTGTTTCTCTCTCTCTCTCTCTCTCTTAAATAAATAAATAAATAAAATCTTAAAAAAAAAAAATCATTAAAAAAAAAAAAAAGAGTTAGGAGGTTCCTTCCTGATTCGGTGTTATAAGCACCGACTAGGAAGAGGGTATGCACATGTGGGTATAGTGCTTAGACATTTCTAAAGTTTTCTCTTCCTGAAGTTGATGGATCTTGGTGGAGAAACAGACTCTGCAACTTTGGCCTTGATAATATCATGTCAAAAAACTGGGAATGGACCTAATCTAGAAATGAATCTATCCTCAGGACCTCAGTGAGTCTACTATTAGACTCTCGACTTTTAGACAGTTAAGAAAAGGAAGAATGAAGGAATTATGAGAGTAGTTTTCTTCCAAGGAGCACACATACCCCGAGTGAGAAGACCTAGTTCTTTCCTAATATGTGTGCAAGAGCCCACCTGTTTGTGTTTCGATTGTTTCAGGCCTTTTCTTGCTAGAATTAAGAGCTAGCACTGTGTCTAAAACAAGCAACATGGGTATGTGTATTTCTGTCCAGGAAGCTAATAGGATTTAGGATGGTCTATAGCCAGACCCTGTCAGTTTGTGGTACTTTGCAAAAAAAGCACACAAAGAAAATAAGTTCCAGATGATAGAAGGGAGATTTATCTTCATTTCTACCACAGCCTAAGCTCTGCTTTAATGCCTCTAAGATTTAGGGGGAGAAAATCCAAGCACCTGATGCTGCGTGTGCGAGTCAATGGAGAGTCAGAGCCAAGCTCCGTGTGGGTCCCAGTTTGGGTACCTGTGAAGGAAGTGGGGGCTGAACTGAATTTTTTAACTACATATTTTCTCTGGAATATTTCCAATACATATTTTCTGTAATATATATACATATTTATTTTTATCTCCACAAGGATTTCCTACGAAATATCCCAGGAAGTATATTTTTGTCTGATCTCTATGACAAATGGCTCGGTGTTATTGATCAAGGGAACGAAGAGGAGAAGATGACTGCAGCGCGGAGGTAATGATGCCATAATTACTCTACTCTGGTCACATCTCCAAAATACAGCCAACATACTATTAGGAAAACATTGGCTTACGTTTTGCAGCTTTGCCCACTATAATCATGACCAATGTCAAAGAGTTTCAATTCTTCAAAGCCATGGGGGTCAGCTTCAGAATAGAGGCACGCTTTAGGGCTATTATTGTTCTTCTCCTGATCTTATTAATGTGGACTCCTTGGCCATTTGACACCTTCTGGATCCATGAAACTTGTAGACGAAATTGCCTGGTTCAAGACATATGCAAGAGCATCAACTGCCAGGGCTCTCACCTTAAAAGTCTGTCAAACATTTAACTAACCAGAGAAGTGTTTATCTGGCTCAGGAACTAAATTCAGTGCAACAATTTTGTCTACATTCATGCGTGGAACTCTGCTAGAGCGGGTTGTGTGCTAGATATACAAGGATGTATTCTGTTCCCTGTCTCTGTTTTTCCAACCTCCTAAGTGGAATCATTTGCCTAATTTAAAGTGTGTTTTTCTGACCTTAGGCTTTTAGCCCAGCTGCCAAGAGCAAATGTTGTTCTCTTGCGATACCTTTTTGGAGTGCTATACAACATTGAGCAACATTCCTCATCCAATCAGATGACAGCTTATAATTTATCCGTTTGTATAGCCCCAAGCATTCTTTACCCACCTGATTCCGGCACCTTGGAATTGGAAAACAACTTGATAAAAAAGGTAATGAGAGCTCTCATTTTTGTCCCCCAGGGGGTAGAATCCCTACTTTGAACCGGACATGTGCAGTAGTAACTCTGACGGATGGAACTTTGTGAAGTGCACATTTTCATTAGGCCCCTGTGGAGTGGCAAAGTTCTTTATCCTACTCTGGCGGGGTCTGGGAAGGGGTGTCGTTAAACGGGAAACTCGGAGCAGTCGAGTCACTTCTTCCCCCTCCAGGAGACTAAACACTAGAGTGACTAAACGAGAGAGAGAAGAGTCGTGTGATACGATAGGAAAGAACCTGGGCTTTGGAGCTTCACCAGTCAAGGTTCAACTCTCAGCCTAATCCCTGAGGGACTCGTAACCTTGGGCAAAGCCATGGTTTCCTCACTACACAATGGCGACAACAGCCAGCTCCTCCGGTCATCACTGGCACATCCTGGGTGGCTTGGGCAATATGAGCCCCCATGCCTCCAAACACATTGGCCTTCCTCTGCCAATTGTGGCTCATCTAGAAAAGTACTCAGCTACTCTTTCACCTCTGCTACGTCATATGGAAACTAGCAAGAGATTCCAGAATATCCTAATAAGATGACAGGTCTTCCCCAAGCTCACCCAGAGAGAGCCAGCATGAGGCAAAGCAATGCGTGAGAAGGGACTGAAGTTAGACAGACAGATACATTTTCTCTCCAGCTGTGTGGGTTTTCCCTCACAACCCCACCAAAATCTCTGCTTCCCAACTTTAAGATACTTCTTCATTTAAGAAATGGTTTTCTTAAGTTTTTGTTCATACTTTATAAAGTTTCATAAGATGTTATACATCAGTTACAGCTCAATAAAACTGGAAACAAAATTTAAAAACAAAAAATAAGTAAACTTTAATAAGGTAGGCTACTTTGAAAATTATCCTAGTTTTATTTATTTTTTGATATGTATTTATTTGAGGGAAAGAGAGAGCGTGAGCGGGGCAGGGGCAGAAGAAGAGGGAGAGGGAGAGGGAGAAGCCCAAGCCGATTCCCCGCTGAGCACGGAGCCCAAAGTTGGCTCCATGTGGGGCTGTATCTCACCATCATGAGATAGTGATCTGAGCCAGAATCAAGAGTCAGATGCTCAACTGAGGGGCCCCCAAAATTATCCTAGGCTTAATGATGTAACCACTGATACCAAAATGTTGGCTATTAAACTAGGCCACATATTAAAACTTTAGCCTACTGATTAGCAGTATTTTAAAATGTGTACCCAAAGTACACGGAAAAGTATCACTCTTCCTAAGTTATTTCTTAGATAATTCTGGTCTCTGTTTTTTATTTTATTATTTTTTTTTAAGATTATATTTATTTTCTTGACAGAGGCAGACACAGCGAGAGAGGGAACACAAGCAGGGGGAGTGGGAGAGGGAGAATCAGGCTTCCCGCTGAGCAGGGAGCCCGATGTAGGGCTGATCGCATCACCCTGGGATCATGAGCTGAGCTGAAGGCAGACGCTTGACCGATTGAGCCACCCAGGCGCTCCTGGTCTCTATGTATTTTTATCAATTCTGAATTTTTCTGGGAAATCTTTCACATTCTTTCTTAGATCCAAGGTCTATATACATAATGTGATTTATAACTATGCCCTATGGAAAAGAGCACCCCATTCTTGTCTTTTTGTGTTACAGATTTCTCTTGTACAATTTCTCATTGAAAATTGCCTTAAAATATTTGGAGAAGACATCACTTCCCTCTTGGGCGAGAACTCAATGAGTCGTGGTAACAGCGAGCAGGCTGCAGGTACCGGGAATAATTTAATTGGCTTTAGTGAGAAGCAGACAGCCAGGCTGCCAGGGGTCATGGGAGATGCTTAGACAGAGCTGTTCTGGAGCCCAGAGCATCGCCAGGGCAAGGATTTCCATGGGCTCCTTCTTCCGAAGGCTGGCTCACAGGTCAAGGGAGGTTCCACACTGTT